CTCTGTCCATGAAAGGCTACAGTGAATGATTGCCAGTTTGGTGTCAGGCTGTCTTCCAACTGCTGGAAAAGGAGGTGAGGTGGGTAAGGGCTCTGCCTCCGTGGAGCTGGTGTTCAGGCGAGGGAAGCAGACAGTCCTTGCCTTGCCCTGCCCGATGTGTGCAGCAGGCTAGTGGGACTCTGGGCTCCTGGACAGTCACTGGTTCTTCTGTCTCTGCTGCTCTGTGCTCTAGAGTAATGATGCTTCTCTCTCTGCCTCCATCCTTGTCACAGAAACCCTGGAGTTTACAGATTTGGGCTACTGTGCCCAGCTTTGTGTGGCTTCTGAGGACATAAACTCAGGTCTTCATGCTTTCTGCATAGGGGTTTCACCCATTGGAGACCTCCAGGCCCTAGAACTGGATTTGTTTTCCTGCTGGGACAATAATAGGCCAATGTGGAAGACTTCTGAGTTTTGTGGTGAGGTTGACAATCTTCCTTCCACACCATGGCTTGGTTGAACTTCCATGTTTAGCTTGAATCTTACTCTGGCCTGGCAGCACTGCCGTTTTCTGTCACACTTGCTTTTCCCCTGTCAGCTCTTGTGCCTGTATCACTCTGTGCTCAGCCATTTAGCACTCAGTATGCAGGTGGCTTATCATATGAATATGGTATTGGGGGCTTACGATTTCAGAGGGCGAGTCCATGACCATCACGGTGGCTGGCAGGCAGGTATGGTGCTGAAGCAGAAGCTGAGGGTTATCCCCAGGCAGCAGAGAGAGAAAGCCTGGGCTTGGCATGGGCTTTTGAAACTTCAAGGTTCACCCTCAGTAACACACCTCCTCCAACAAGGCCACGCCTCCTAATCTTTCTCTAACAGTTCCACCCGCTAAGGACCAAGAGCATTCAAATATAAGCCTAAGGAACCATTCTCATTCAGACCCAAGCCCCAAATTGAAGCACCATTAGTAAAAGCTAGGCTCAGAAATTGGGGTTCAACTTGAAGATCTGAAAAGCAAAGCAGCCAGCCATTGGCTCTTACCTTGACTTCAGAATAAAATGGCGATCTTGCCTCCAAGAATCTCAGAGTGAGACTCTCTGAGAGCTGTCCCCCCCCCCCCCCCCCCGTTTTATATTCCTTTCTAGGGCTGGGATTAAAGGCATGCACCACCGATTTCTATAGCAACTAGTGTGGCTACTGGGATTAAAGGTGCATGTCATTGTGGTTACTGGGATTAAAGGTGTGTTGTTACCATAACTTGGTCTGTAAGGCTGACCAGTGGGACTGTTTTACTCTCAGATCTTCAGGCAGTCTTTATTTATTAAAATATAATTGAAATGCCACTACACTAAGTGATTTTTTTAAAGATTTATTTATTTATTATGTATACAACATTCTGCCTTGATGTATGCCCCACGCCAGAGGAGGGCGCAGGATCTCAGTACAGATGGTTGTGAGCCACCATGTGGTTGCTGGGAATTGAACTCAGGACCTCCGGAAGAGCAGTCAGTGCTCTTAACCTTTGAGCCATCTCTCCAGGCCCCCACTAAGTGATTCTTATTACTTTTTCAGGAAACTCTTTACCTAATGCCAAAGAACTCAGACCCTTTGGATCCAGGTTCTCTCTCCATTTCCTTTCCGACATCTCCGTGTTTAACCTAGTCACCCTCTGTGACTGGTTTGTCTCTGTCTTCTTACAGCCTGGAAGAACAGAGACGCCTCTGGTTTTGCTCATGGCCTTGTGCCCAGTGTGTGTGCAAGCATCCATTGGTAAGTGTTAGAAGCCACAACAGAGGGCTGCTCAGGCCACACGGCCAGCAGCTACCCCTCCCCTCTCCCAGCCATACAGGAGAGCACTGGATGTGACCCTCTAGCTAATGGATCTCCAAGTGCCTGCACTTCTCACCTGGGGCAGGAAGTCTGCAGGCTCCAATGTGTCGAAGAGCCACCGCAGCTGTTGGTGTCCTACACTTTCCCTGCCACCTGCTGGGGAATCAGAAGGCCTGGTGGCAGGCTTCTGCAGAAAGCGTCCTCTTTCCTCAGAGACCTTTGAGAAGGAACCCTGATTCCTCTGCAGGACCGCTGCCATGCTGTCGGTCTGCAGCACTGAGGCCTGAGATCTCAGAGCCCCTGGCACGTTGTGGGCTCTCTGTCCATTCATAGCATCAGTTACTCTTACAGTAACCTTATCTCCAGTATTCTGTCTCAGGGGCCTTGAATACTACACCTGAGGTGTTCGAGAGACCCAAAGTATAGTCCCAGATGTTCCAGATGTCAGAGTAGAGGAGCCTCGGGAATGGTTTGCTTGAGGTCTCCGAAAGAGCAATGCGTTTCACAGATACCAACCACGCAGGGAGTTCTTCCAGATATTTCCATTCTCTTAGGGACAAACCCTTTCCCAGAGGAGACTCCTAGAGGCTGATTCACTGGTCCTTCCCGAACGGCAGAGCTGGAGGCAAAGCAGGCGTCCAACTGTCAGAAATAATAAGCAGCCAGCGGCAGCATGGGTTCTCCGGCATATGGGATGACATATGGATATTTACATATATACATTGCCTGACTGATAGTTCCAGTGAAAGCCTGAGAACCCAAGGACATGGCTGGAATTTAAGGGGCTGCAGACGATTTCAGGAAAACTAAATCTAATAGCGCTATTGAATATCAAACCCCCTTGACAAATGCGGAAGCTTCTTTTCCAGACCAGCTGTTTTCAGCAGCTCTTCTGGAAAGAAATTAGAAGAATTTGGGAATCCACTTGCATTCGTGGCCCTTGATTGTCCGTCTCCTCGTGACCCATGGTCCATTTCTTCTCCACCAGGACACTTTGCTGTGTCTTTCTTCTGCCTTCATGCGCATCTTCAGGAGGCATGGTGAGGGAACTTAGTCCCCTACATGGTTCGCTCCTGTGACTGATGAGGTGACCTTGCTGCACATTACCTGTGGCCTACAGATTTCATTCTTCTTCCCTAAAGAAGTACCTCAGGCTTTGGGTAATGTACCCAGCTCCAAGTTCACTAACCTCAGGCTGTGTTTTTCCATTTATTTAATGTGTGCGCAGAAGCAGGCGGATTTCTGTGAATTCGAGGCCAGCCTGGTCTACAAGAGCTAGTTCCAGGACAGGAACCAAAGCTACACAGAGAAACCCTGTCTTGAAAACAAAACAAACAAACAAAAAACCAAAAACAAAAAAAAAAAAAAAGAGGAAAAAGGAAAAAACTAGCTTGGCACTACCAATCATGTCTCTGCTTCCATGATCTGTTCAGGCAAGCAAGCTCCTACCTCCATGCCTTCCCCACCATGATGGAATGTACCCTTACAAGAGCCCAAACAACTCCTCCTTCCTTCGGTTGCTTTTGCCAGGTGTTTGGTCACAATGATAAGATAGGTGACCTAGTTCTGGGTGCTCCTGGGTAGCACATGGGTACAGCTTCAGGAAGTCTATTGCTTTCTTGAAAAAAAAAAAAAAAACCAACCAAACAAAAAACCCCACCAGACTCAGCTGCTGTCTTACCCTTTGACGGCCTTTTCTCTCTACCCTGAAAGTAGAGCCATGCTATAAGCAGAAGGGCTGTCCTATGAGCAGGTGCTGTTGGCACCATGCCTATTAACTCCCTGCCACTACCATCGACTTCCTACTGACAGACTTGAGTCTCCACCCGGAACATGCTAGAGACCCGAGAACAGCCTGTAACTAATAATAGATTCTCTGGAGGGCAAATAGCCCATCTTGCTGGCCTTGGATCAGACAACTCTAGATGTGAGTAGTCCCAGGAAGACAAAGCACCAAGTGCCCACAGCGGTAATCCACTCCAGAATGTTCTTGTATTGGCTTCCTTCTCCTTCCCGTCTTCCCTGCATTTCTAGAATCATCTCTAAAATTATGTCTTAGGAGCTCCTTCTAGAACCCAAATATGACATCTTGTGACCATGAGAATTAAAGCCGCACACAAAAATGGCAAGGAGTCTACGAGTCAAGAGCTCAATAGCAGGCCTGAGCCCTTGCACCATCCTTGGATGGCCTGTGCTGCAATTATCTGAGAAACAGTCTCCTTTTGGTGGCTTACCATCCCCAGGTTGCCTCAGCACACAGCCAGATGCAATTCTGAGGGTGTGAGGAACTCGCAGCTGACGTGTGTATTATTTGGACATGGCTAATAGTGCTGATGCTGCCTTTGCTAAGCAAACCATATTTCCTTATGCTGCTCCAGCTCATCCTCATGTGGATTCTACAACCAATTAGGCATCAACTCATCATCAGGTTCGGCGAATAAATGCTGAAGTGTGTGGTGGAATTCCATGCTGATCTTAAATGTACTCCTCTTTAAAATAATTGATATCAAATTCCATACACCCACCCTGGATTTCAAAAGTCAGGATCATCTTTTGCCACTGAAGGTCAGGGCTGGATCTTCACCCCACTTAAGTAATGAGCCGTATGTTCCACCCTTGCCTTTCTCCTTTCTCTGATGGTTCCATCACTAGCGTGAACACCACACTTCTCCCTGAGCTAATGCTTCCAGTTGCCAACGCTCGTGACCATGGCACACCAGGAACACACGCCAGTCCTCTGACCTCTGACTCATTCATTGGATCGGCTTCCCAGTTATGGAGAGCTTCACTTCAGAAGTGGGAAGCTGTGCTGTTTGGGTCCAGAGTGACAGTTACCTGCTGGTTTGCTGTGGGGAAGGTACCCACCCAAGTGTGGCTCATGGCACCACACAGACAAGGAGAAGAACGTTGAGTTGAAACAATCACACTGCATTCAGATACACCCTTGTTTACAATCATCAAGATGGAACTTCAGGGGCTGGAGAGATGGCTAAGCAGTTCAGAGCACTTACTGCTCTTAGAGGGGACCTGGGTTTGGTTATCAGACACCTACATGGTCGCTCACACCGTCCATAGCTCCAGTTCCAGGGGATTTAACACTCTCTTCGGACATTCTCAGGCACCAGGCATCCCATGCTGCAGACATACATGCAAGCAAACAGCCCTACACATACACACGAAAAGAGAGCAAACTGGATCATCCTTGAGAAGAAACCTCCTCTGTGGACTCAAACATTCCATTTAATGTACTACATTCAACTCTGACTTTTTAATTCAAGTTTTTATTAAAATAACGGCTGAGACACAAGTACTATCAAACAACACTCATTTCCTTGGTGAGACAAATCCATAAGCACCCCAAGTTTTCATGAGGCTGAGTATTGTCACGCTCCTGCCCAGGGGAGAAGATGTGGCTCTGGAAAGAGGGTACACTAGAGTTGCAATCACTGGTGTGGGGATGAAGCCAGCACTGGGCTGAGCTGGGTTCTAGACAGCAAGCATGAAGCCTCCTGGGATGGTCAGGGACCCAGCTTAGTCTGCTGTAGGGTGAAACCACATGCAAGGTATAGAGAAAGAAAGCATTGGTCCAAGCGCTCTCGAGGCTCGGGGACTGAAGAGGAAGTGGCATGTGGATGGGAATTGATCTTAAGCATGTGGAAAGGAGACAAAGTAGCAGAAGGGGGGCTTCTCACAACTGTCCCTTGGCAGCAGTTCTGATAATGTTTATATCAGTGTGTAGTGGACAGGAAATAGACCTGTGTGTAGTGGACTGGGCCTGACTCAAGAATCAAGCCAAAAAGTCAGACCCAGTGGCACATAAATTGTAACCGCAGTGTTTGGGAGACAGAAGCAAGAGGATTATTTCAAGTTCAAGTCCAGCCTACTACAAATTGCGACAAAGGCAGATGTGAAGGCCAGCACAGCACAGGAGGCTGGGACTGGAGGATAAAATCTGAAGCCAGGTTGAACAATATGGCAAGATCTGCTTCATAAAAAAAATTTAAATCATAATAAATACGGCTTTGAGGACTGGGGTTACCAAACTGCTATAGACAACAGGGCATCAGCTCAGAGCGCATGTGTGGAAAGACGTGAAGATGATGGAATCACAACTATTAATTCTGTAAGAACGTTGAAGTTCATTAAATGACAATACAAAATTCACAATATGGTGACAGACTTATTTTAGACACAGTTTGTGCTCAAAGGCATTAAAAAAATCTAACCTATAAAACTCAACCAGACAGAGATACTGACACCAGCTGGTAACAACAGCGAAGGTTTACAGACAGACGAGTCTGTGCTGAGTCCATCTATTTGATTAGACGCAGGACACGTTAACAAATGTCCCCTCACTCTGATAACCAGCTTTACTAGTCTGCCACGCCTCCTGGCTTTGACCTACCTTATGGTGATGGAACTTGGAAGGAAGGCTCAAAGCAGGGCAGTAGCTTTGGCCACCAGGTAGGTTACCACCGCTGGTGGGATCAAGTCCAGGCTTAGTGCATGTAGGGAAATGGACCCCATCCCCAACTGCATGCCCACTGGTTAGTTTATGGTGCCTGGGTCTTGTTAGATAGCTCAGGCTGGCTTAGAATTTGCAATTCTCCTGCCCCTGCCTCCCATGTGCTGGGGTTGCAGGTGTGTCCTACCACACCCAGTGCCTGTTTTATGTTTCCATGACAACTGGCCCAGGCTACAGTAGAGTGGCCTGCATGAAATATGAGAATTTACCCAATCGTTTTGGTATTTTCCATTTTTGCAAAGTACTATTTTCTTAAACTCTGGTCATTAAATTAAAGTTCAAGACATTAATGTCCCTTCTAGGAACATGTGGTGTAGAACCAGTATTTAAGGCAACAAACTTCATTGTAAGAAGAGATCCCAAACCTGCTTTATCAGGTAAGGGACTGCAGATCTGAGGGACATTCAGGAGATTGTGACCCCACAGAAGAGATTCTTAAAAATTTTAATTTGTCCAGAGAACGGTGTAAGAAGGGAAAACATGTTCTATAATTTAGGGTATGTTCAAGAGCCCTTGTTCTACAGCCAAATGTACAAAAACAGCTTTCCTTAAAGAAAGACACATCTCTGAGCCAAGGCAAGCTTTTTGGTTAAATGATTGGTAGCTTTTGTTTGGCTCTGGAGGTTTCCATGGAAACAGCCTGAGAGATAGAAAAGGCAGCATTACCATATTATCCATATGCCAGCTGATCACACTGCACACTGATTCGTTCACTCTGTCCAGGGCAGAGGCGTCATATTTGATAAACCTGGACAAAGGCAGGCACTGAGTTCACTGTTACACTGTCAATTTCTGTCATCCTCTGCTTGTTTGACACTTCAAATTCAATTCCAACGAACACCCCCTCTGCACATTCCCTCGGGACCTTCTAATTCAAGCAGTGCTTCCACAACTAGAAGCCAAATGAAGAGAAGCATCTCACTGAGCTCCCCGGCCACGATGTTAAAATTCTACAAGAGCTTCCTGCAGCCGAGGAGATGATTGTGAAGATTACTTATAATCAGTCCTGTCATTCTTGGCCAGGCGGGAAGTGGCAGCTTCAGTGCTCACTGTATCCAGATGAGCCAGGTGGCACTATCTGTCATTTCCCACCTTACGGCTGGATTATCTGTTTTAATACAATAACTCACCGAACACAATGATCTCATCTGAGTTCAGGTAAGTGCTTCTAGAAAGGCTACAACGGCAGCCCTCACTCAAAAGGACACATTCAAAGAACAAAAACTCCAGCAATGATGAGTTTCAGTGAGACTAGAATAGGTGTATCACCTTTAGCACCAGGTTGAGGACCACAGAGGGCAGGAGTGTTGCCGAGCTTGCTCTAAAGTGGATTCTTCAGTTCTCAACCCAAACAGAGCTTGCTTGGGAATTCAGTACTTTTAAGAAAAGGAAGGAAGCCCGAGACAATATTAAGAAGTATCAAAATTAATGATTTGAAAGAGATGACTTGACATCATTCTTGCTCACAAAACACTGAAAACATTCTTCCTTGGGGACACTGAGGCCAGCCTCACTGGACTAAAGGTCTTAGTAAGCTAAAGACACGATGTACTCCCAAGAAGGACACATTTCTCACTGAGAATGTTTTTTCTTTTCTTCTTGTTTTCTTCTTCTGTTTTTGGAGACTGGGTATCTCTAAAAACTATTCTGGAACTCACTCCATAGACCAGGCTGGCCTTGAACTCAGGGATCTGCTTGTTTCTGCCTTCCTGAGTGCTGGGATTGAAGGTGTGTGCTACCTTCAATGGTAGTGAGAATGGTTTTCTAATGGCAATTTACTCTCTGGACGTGTGTAACACAGTAGTGCTCACTGAAAAGATCTGGCCCAGCACATGGGGCTGTTCACTCCTCAGGGCAGGGCATCTCCACGTGTGGCACTGGTGTAGACAGCTACAGTGCAGAATAAAGTCTCAAGAGAGGGACCAAGGGTCTAGTGCAAGGCTGACTCACAGGTGCGACAGTTAGGAAGTGTTGGGCCAGACACGACTCGCTGAGAACAAATCCCTCATTTTTTGATGTGTCACACACGAGCCAAAGAAAAACTGTAACCAGAAAAGAAGCCTCACTGTGTTAACAGCTCAGGTAGTTTTCAGTCTTAGCACACATCACTCCAGCAACCTTAAAGAAAATGACCAAATATCAGAAAAATATTGCCTTTTCACAAGGACTTTGGCAATTCATAGTCTGGTGTGCTTAAGGTTAAAGAGAGGACCCTGGTCATCTTACCCTGGTCATCTTATAATAATGCTATTCTTCATAGCAGGCTCCTTTCCTGAGCACTGGGCAAGCTGTCAGTTGTCACTCAGCAGTGAGTGCTGCCCTCAGCAGGTGCAGGCTCATCGGATGTGCTGAAATTGCTGCTGTCTTGAGAATCTGTCCCAATACTTTTGGTCTCTGACTGAGGGTGGACAGACACCTGCACTGCTATCTCCTGGCCTTGCTCACTGAGAGAGCCGTCATCTGAATCCCCACCAGGTGAGTTACTGCGTCCCAGCTCTGGGTTAATCACATAGATGCCACCTTGAGCATCCAAGGCTGGCCTCTCCTTAATTCTCTCTCCCATGTCATCAGGGTCATCCACTCGCACAGCCTCAAACATTTCCTCAACAAAGGCCCGACAGTTCAGAATGAGGGGTGGGAGAGGGACACTTCTGGCCAGTTCTTCAATGTAGCGGGCAAACTCCATGGTCTTAAACTGGGTGACCTTGGCAAGCTCCAGGGTTTTGGCTGAGGTGATGATGGGGATGCGCTTTGCTATCTCAAAGGCCTTCTGGAGCTTTTCAGCTCCTTCAGTCCTGAAGAACTCATTGATGGCCTTCTCAGTCTTTCGGAGATGGGTGCTCATCAGGCACAGCCGAGTGACATTCAGGATGAGTGTGATTGTGAAGGCGATCAGGCAGACAACCATGTAGTAGACACTCATGTCCCCAGAGGTGAAGATCACACGGAGGGTGACTGAGTAGGAGGCATGAGTTGGAGAGGTGACGACACACGTATAGAGCCCACGGTCATCAAAGGCTACATTGGTAATATTTAGGAAGTTGTCAGAAACCAACCATTTTCCATCTAATAAATCCAACAGAAACAGAAAAAAAAATTACAGAAAAGATCAACTGCTTTGCCAATATTCACTTTTTCATAAAACTATCGTAGCTTGTCTGTTAGACTCTACTGTTTCAATCATGCTAAAAAATAGAAAGAAAGGAAGAAAGAAAAGCAGACTGTCATGTCTGACTAGGATTCTATCAGCATAAAACAAGTAATGAAAATTGATCTTCCTGACCATCCATCCTAAGGCCAATATTTCCTTCTCATAGCCAGACACCAAGCATCCATATAGACCCAAATGATCAGTCTTTCAAAGACATGCTCATCCATGTGTGTGAGTCTACACCATGCTGAAGTAATAGGGGCAGCGGGGCTGCGTCCCCAGCACCCCGGCTGCCTGCTCGGCGGCTAGCTTATGCTCTGAAATAATTACACGGACACTGTATTCTTTTAATCACTGCTTGGCCCATTCTCTTCTAGGCTAATTCTCACATATTAATTTAGCCCATTTCTAATCATCTGTGTATGGCACCCCAAGGTGCGCTTACCAGGAAGATTCTAGCCTATTGTCCATCCTGGGTCGGAGCTTCATCCTGGGAGCAGGGCATGGCGTCTCTCTCAGGCGTCTGCTCCCTAGAGGAGAGCTGCGAGTCTCTGAGCTCACTTCCTCTTCCTCCCAGCATTTTGTTCTGTTTACTCCTCCCACCTATCCTCTAACCAATAAAATGGGCCAGGGCAGTTCCTTTATTAGCCAATGACCTTCCTCCATCATTTCCCCTTTTTCGGTTTAAACAAAAAAAAAAAAGCTTTAACTTTAACATAGCAAAATTACATATAACAAAACAGTTATCAAGTAAAAGTTACAATAATCTTTATCATAACTAAGGAAAACTATAACTATAACTAACTATTCTTAACTCCATCAAAGACTCCAGAAAGATACAATACTACCTAAGCAAACAAGAAAAAAGCAACTTTTAAAACTCTAGAAATGACAGAGACATCTCGCTGCCGTGGCCTATACATTTTCATACATGAGACAGACATGTCTCAGAAGTATAGACATGCTTATTTATGGGTAATAGGCTATGGGCTTCTATCTTGATTGAAATGTTGCTTATTTTCCATCACGAACTCATATGACAATGTACCAAAGTTATTTTTTAAAAAAACTCCTAGCATAGGGCCGGAGAGAGAGAGTTCACTGGGTAAAGGCACTGCTCACAAAAGCTGATGACCTGTGGCACTGAGCTGAGCAGCAGCATGCTTTCACTGCTCCCTGCCTCTTGACTATGGCTGTCATGCAAGCAGCTGTTCTGAGTTACTGCTACCGGCTTCCCTGCAACAACAGACTGTAACCTGGAACTGCGGACTATAACAAACCCTTTCCTCCCAAGCACCTTCTGTCAGGGTTTTTACTATAGCACGGAAAAGAGACTAAGGCAACTATACTTCCAGTGTGTGGTGTTGGAGAGCCAACCTGTGTTTGCTAGGCGAGGATTGAGCACTGAGACACACTCCACTGCTCAGCAAATGGGTACTTGAGATGGAGAGAGCATCTGTCTCCTTCTATGTTTCAAGAGCGTTTCCTGAAAGGTTAGCTAATGGGGCGACTTCTCCATCATTTTGGTTTCATGGTAACTTCCCTTTGAGGTACTTTGTAACTCAAGTATTTATCACAAACATCTGTTTTTTTGTTTTTTGTTTTTTTTTTTTTAAAGACAGGGTTCCTTTGTGTAGCCCTGCCTGTCTTGAAACTCATTCTGTAGACCAGACTGGCCTTGAACTCAAAGATCTGCCTGTCTCTGCCTCCTGAATGCTGTGACGTCCCACTACGACCTGGCTTGTTCGTTCGTTCGTTCTTTCTTTCTTTCTTTCTTTCTCTGTTGTTGTTTTAAAGACTTATTTTTATTTTATGTATATACATGTTTTGCCTGCATATATGTCTATGTACATGAGTGCCTCAATGCCTTAGAGGCCAGAAAAGGGCATCTGGTCCCCTGAAATTCAAGTTACAGATAGTTGTGGGTTGCCAAATGGATGCTGAGTCTCTTGGAAGAGTAGCAAGTGCTCTTAAACCACTGAGGCACCGCCTCAGGTACTCAAAGATCTAACAGAACACTAGTGAAAGAATTAGTCTAGATTAAAATGTGCACCAAACGAATTCATACAAAGAATAAAAGCCCAATAAAAGGTAAACCTTGACAAAATTATCAGTGTACAATTCTTTTAAAAAAATATATATATGTAGTGTGTGTGTTTGTGTGTGTGTGTGTGTGTGTGTGTGTGTGTGTGTGTGTGATGTACATATGGTCCACACACCGGTATATATGTGTGGACATCAGAAGACAACTTGTGGAAGTTGGTTTGCTATCTCTATGATGTGGGTATAAAGTTGCCAGATTTGATGGTAAGTGCCTTACTTACTGAGCTACCTTGACGACTCGTCACTGTGCAATTCTTATAAAATAAATAAAGATTAGAAGACAAACTTTGCTTTCAAGCAAATTAAAATTAAATTAAAAAAAAAAAGCTGAAGGTGGGCATGATGGGGCATGATAATAATCCCAGTACTAGGAAGTCAGAGGCAGGATGATATGGAATTCAAGGTTATTCTTGGCTACAGAGCACCTGGTGACCTGAACTATGATGCTTTGCCCAAAACAAAACAAATGAACAAAAGAAGTAGAAGGAAAACTCAACAGGATGGAAAGCAGCTTACTGTCATATGACCACCTTATAAACTTATACCTATCCTTTTTTGTTCAAGGATTATAATTGTTTTGCTCTTTTGATAGGTATAATACTTCAGACCTTATCCCTTCGCCAACCCCAGGATCAAACCCAGAGCTCTGTGCATCTAGGAAAGTGCTCAACCACTGAACTGCATCCCTAACCCCCTTTGAAGCAGTCCCCTTGACATCTTATCTTGGAGAACTCTTGCTCAGCATGTCCTAACCCCCAAAGCAGGGTTGAGTCACCTGGCTGACCACAACAATCCTATAGGATTACCTCTGCCATGTAGCCGCCGTCCTTTTGAGTTGTACCAGTGGACATCTTCATACTGATCCATCGTGAGAAGACACTCCAGGGAAACGTTTGTTCCCTCTTTGGCTATGATGACATCATCACTAGAGTAAGAACGTGCTGGGAGTTCAAAGCTCGGGAGAAATGATGCATTGTGGGAACTATGATTTGCTCCCACATCTCCCAAAACCATAGCAGCTGGCAGGAGAGTGACCACCACTAAGATGGACAGACAATGATGCAGCTTCATGGGAAAACCAAAAGCAGTCTTCTTTAGACTTGGAAAACTCAAATGTGGCTATGCTGAACAGGATCACAGTGAATGACTTGCTGCCAGTAGAAGGGTTTTCCGAAGAAGTGGTCCAAGAGTGTTCTGAGGCTTTCACAATGAAAAGGAATGTGGAGGCCAGCCTAAGAGAAAGCCACATAGTGTTTAAATTGAGATCCATCATGGAATAAAACTGCATGCCCCAGAAATGAATAGACATGAAACCAATTCAGTAACCAGTGTCGACATCACCCCACAGAGGTGGAGAAGCAGTGCTGAGCCAGGCACCAGCAGACTTCCATCCCAGTCAAACCTTGTTGCCAGGGCCCCCATCTTGACAAGCAGCTTTCTCTGGGCTTCCACTTTCTCACCTGCCCTCTGAAGGGAAGGATGAGAGACTCTCTAAGGATGCTTCCGGTTGTAAACGCTGAGATTCCCTTTCACTTGGAAAGTTTCTATGCAACAGGGAGTCAATGAGAGCTGAAATATAGTTTAACAATCTTTTATTTCAACCTGCACCAAAACCATATGCTATATCAGTATGTAAAGCAGCTGATATGCCTGATTCATTACCATGGGGATCAGAATCCATGTAATCCAACTACATACATGGATTAAACAAATAATTCAGGGACATCTGAGGTAGAATCTGGTTTTGTTAGGAAAAAAAAACAAAAAACTGTGTGACCTGACTCTTGAGTCTATACATCTCCCTCTCAGAATGCTGTACAAAAAAATTATCATCTTCTTTACAACTAAGAGACAAAACAGAATATTTAATAGCATGTACAATTAACAAATTTTGAGGATGAAGTCTAACAAAATTGCTACCTTGAGTGTGCAGTTGGTAGAAACAATATACTACTACAAGGAAAGGTATTAGATTTGGAAGAAGAATAAACTATGACTAAAAAGCAAAGTAAGAGTCTAGCCTGAGTCCAGGTGTTTATGATTTTCTTCTAGCTAATTTGATTCCCCACTTTAAACCACCAGCTTGCAAGGAAAACGTCAATTTACACTTCTATAAATATGTGGCGAGACTGCTTTATTTCTTGTCAAAGTCCAAGGTAATTAGATTTGGAGATGACGTTTATCTACGTTTATACTTACAGGAAGGCTATTTAATCCAGAACATAAAAACCAATGGGTCATTGTATATTGTCATTAAACCCTTCAAGTCTGAATTACAAGTTTAAAATGTCATTTAATTTTCATTAAGGTCTTGAAAGACTGGATGAATAATGACAATAAAAAAAATCTCAAACTTTAAAATTTAAGGATAGACTATTAAAATAAAACAAAAACTTCAGACTTTGGCTCTACAGGATAGATTAAATGTGTTTACTTCCATTTCCTCCTAAAAAGCCTACTAAAATGACACTGACAGAAACAGCTTTGGGCACTTAATAAATGATTTAGCTTAATTTATAGACTTCACAGTGATAACGTGTTGGGTTGGATTATGCCAGAAGGTAATGGGAGAGTCTGGTCGAATAACTGAGGTGACAGCACAAACACTGATGAGGACCAGGAGCCAGGCTCTGTGCTAGGATAAGCTTCTAACTCTTGGTCACTGAAGATGAGCAATATCTGACAGGCATGACTTTGTCCTCTTTCTACACTAGCAGTTCTCCTGGCAAGAGTTCCAAGCTTTCCCCGGGACTTTGACAGGGAGTCCCCCAGGTTCATCTGAATCAAACTTTGAAATGTCATTCACTCCGCTGCCATATTTTTTACTATTTACTAAAGCAAAACCTTTAAATCCACTCATTTTCTTTTTGTGTATTTATTTTAAAGGGAAACTGTATACCAACCACTTCGGTGGATAAAATCACCTGCATGATTGAATATAAAATGACTCACTCCAGAATTATTGCCACCTGCTTCAGGCTCAGAGATGGACACCCACTGTCTCTGTGGTCTTGTGGTGGGGACGGCTGTGGCTGCAATCTCAAGGCCAGTCATTGCCCAATGTTGTGTGTCAGAGGAAGATCTGTTCCCAGGCTGTGTGCTCTCGATGCCCATTCCACAAGTGAGCCATGTGACGACTCTAGTCTTTGACCTCTTCGATTCTTGTTGTTGAACACGTATCTCCTTTACTTACCCTAGTCATTGTAATCCCCGGGTCTATCTGTGATTTCATGTCAGAACCAAGAACCCAACCCAGTCTCCCTGAGAGTGAGTGTCCAGCATTTTCTGCCTCCTGAGTTTGGTCATGAGATGTACTTGTCATTACAGCTTGTGGCTCTCTCCTGTACACCCCTTGACCAATAACGCCTCTGCTCATTGCTTGTGCCCTGGCCTTCTACCTGAGCAGTTGTTTTTGATCTGCCCATCCCTCAGATCTACTGCACTGTTTACTCTCTTGGGAAGGCAGTGAGTATAGCTCCCCATTCTGTGTCCTCCTGCATTTCCCCCTTGGGGAGCACCAAACACAATGTATGTCCTCAGCAGGAATGTGGCTAGATAAGAAGGGGTCCCCAAGCTGAAACTCGGTGTTGGTGAAGGCAGGGAGGAAGGCGGTGCAGGGTAGGCGTGAAGCAGAAGTGGTACAGACTGGAGCTGTGAGGAGCTTCTTGGTTTGGAGTTTGTTTTCCCTACAAACATGGTGGGTGTCCATCTCTGAGCTTGTACCAGGTGGCAGTACCTCTAGAGTGAGCAACACTGCATTGTTGCTTTATTCTCAAGTGTACAGACATTTTTCAAAGGGATTTGCAACTTCTTCTTTACCTGGTACTAGAAGAAAAACAAGGAAGTAAAAAATAAATCACTAAATTCAGGAATTCAAACCCATCTAAGTATTATCATCACCCAGAGAGCTGATTTGGGCTTAGATTGGCATCCTGGGTAATTTTGAGGCAAGGGTCCCTGGACTGACATCAGGCAGCACCAACAGCTCCTCTCCTCTCTGACAGCCCTGCTAATGGTGCTCCAGACTGTTGGAAAACGTCCTTCCACGGAGCTGAGCTGTCACATTCCACCCTGGCTCTGGCTTCCTCTGCACTGGTGCAACTGAATACCTGCAATCTGATAAAGCCAGAGTGGCAGAGGCGCACAGTGCAGACTTGAGCCCAATTTCCTGGATGGGCATTCAGGCCTGGATTCTAACCAGCCCTTTAGTTTTTACAAAGGACTTAAAGTCTGTGTCTTTAAAGTAGGAAAAACAGTAGTAGCTATTCTTACAGGAGAGTGGCAACTACAGTAATTCACGTAAAACAGAGTCTGGCAACAACACTCACTAAGTGCACTCTAGTTAATACTGTTGATGGTTCTTTAGATGTGCTTACACGCATACCACCTGACAGCTACTCCATGAAGCACTTTGACTCAGAATACCACACAACTACAGAATAATCTGGTGTGGGGAGGCATGGTTTAAATTTCAACTTTCAATTCAAAATATTGCTTTTCTTACAGTCTCACCACAAACCAGTATCTTGCAATAACGTGAGTCAAAATTACCTATATGTCACATTACCTGTGCCCTACATTTGGGGCAAGGAAGCTTCTTTATGATCCACTTATCCTGTGGGTTCTCCTTTTAAGTCCTGCTTCTGTTTGCCTGGGTCCACTGTTGTGGTCCAGGGCCAGCCCGGGCCTAAATTATTTTTCAGACCAGTGTGGAGGTGTGGGAATAGAGACACAACTCATATGACTTTATTGGGAGGGAGTTTTTAGGGATCCTTTATGAAATCCTGAGTTTACATCCTGAAAAAATCACCGGCTGAAAAGGTCACTTCCACACCTTTCCATGCCCATTTTGTCACGTCTTCCTATCTATGACTGCTCTGGATGTCTGCTCTGTCATGTAGACTAAATTAACACCTCTTTCTCAGGCGACCTCCCAACTTACAAAGGAGCAAAACAGCATTAGCATATCCTGGCCCTTTGTTTAGGATGTCAGTATGTCTCAAAAGGCTAGGTGACCACCTTCTGTATGGTAGGTATAAATTGTGGCCTAAAATTCTGGCTGCCACACAATGTAAAAATATGGGCCTATATAATATGGCCCCTATAGTCAACCCTTTAGTTAAGTAAGCTAACTGAAACCTTCGTTCTTGAGATTCAGGGTGGAGGCATTTGGGGTTATTTGAGAAGAGCAGGCATCCAGGGATTGAGACAGTTTGGTTCAGTCTTCCTACAATGGAAAGCTGAGGGCAGGACAAGAGGGATGAAGAGAAGATGGAGGAGGAGGAGGAGGAGGAGGAGAAGAGGCTCATACATGCTGCTTTGGTTCTTACAGAACTGCCTGGTACCAATGACTTTTTTTTCTTAAAGCAATAAACATCCTTATTTGATTTTATTCAAAATTATTACCACAAATCATTAAGGCCAACCTTGCAAACAAGGAAGCAAATAGGGGGAAATGGTTAGGTAAAAGAAGGAAGATTAAGCCTTGTAAAACTAACAGGAGCACAGCTGTGATCCTTGTTTTCATCCTTCTCCAACACCCCCCTGCAACCCGCCCCGTTCCTTTGAGACATGGTTTCTCTGTGTAACAGGCCTGGTTGTCCTGGAACTTACTCTGTAAAACAGGCTGGCCTTGAACTCACAGAGATCCGCCTGTCTCTGCCTCCTGAATGCTGGGATTAAGGTGTGTGCCACCACTGCCTGGTCAATTATTCTCTTTATACTACAGCAGCAGTTCGAACACTCCTTTCATAGGGGTTTGCATATCAGGTATCCTATATATCAGGTAGTTACATTATAATTCATAACATTAGTAAAACTAGTTATGATGTTGCAATAAAAACAATTTTATGATGGGGGTCACCCACAACATGAGGAACTGTATTAAAATGTTGGGGAATAGTATTTTAAAGTGTGTTTCTTTTGTTTATGCTGCATTTGTTTAATTCTGTGAAGCTGTGATTCTTTTTTTTTTAAAGATTTATTTATTTATTATGTATGCAACATTTTGCCTCCATGTATGCCCACATGCCAGAAGAGGGCACCAGATCTCATTACAGATGGTTGTGAGCCACCACAAGGTTGCTGGGAATTGAACTCAGGACCTCTGGATGAGCAGCCAGTGCTCTTAACCTCTCCAGCCCCTGAAGCTGTGATTCTTTGCCTGTCTAAAACACCTGATGGCCTAATAAAGAGCTGAATGGCCAATAGCGGGTTAGCAGCAAGGAAAGGCAGGGCTGGCAGGCAGTGAGAATAAATAGAAGGAGAAATGAGGAAGAGAAGGAGTACTGAGAGAACAAGGAGAGAAGAACACTAGGGGCCAGCTACCCAGCCAGCCACAGAGTAAGAGTGGAAAGATATACAGAAGAGAAAGGTAAAAGCCTAGAGGCAGAAGGTAGAGAGGTTAATTTAAGTTAAGAAAAGTTGGCAAGAAACAAGCCAAGCTAAGGCTGGGCATTTATAACTAAGAATAAGCCTCCGTGTGTGATTTATTTGGAAGCTGAGGTGGGCCCCCCAAAAGCGAATAAAACAACAATTAAAGGGTCAAAGCATTTGGAATTTGAGAACCATTGCACCTAGGGATGTTTTGAGAAATTGCCCTGTGGCCCATACCTGTAGTCTTTGTTTTATACTGACACAGCCATTTGCGTGGAGCGGAGGTTCACAAACCCCTTCAAAACAGGCTCTAGAGACACTACAGTCACCCTGAAGTTGGTCCTATGCCAAAGGGATCACAGCAGCCTGAACCTGACTTCATGCCAGGAGAAAACTGGATAAGACAACGGTCTCGAGTGTCCAGTCAGCACCAGTCACTTCAGACCAGCCACAGGCATCCTCAGGCCTTCTGATGTCAGCCATCAAGAAACAGAAGCAGGTGGGGGATGTTGAGCAGCTGGAGACAACAGTGACAAAAGTCTGAGAGCAGAGGGAGTGAGGGATCAGACACTCACGACTTATTCCTCATACGACACCTTAAGCTAGCTTCGGTGGTTTCTGCTACCTGCAACCAGAACCTCATCCAGTGACCATTCCTTGTCCTCGGCAGTGATGATGGAGGTTAGCAACTGTCGCTGCTCAACTCACAGCCTGACTTTACAGCAGTTAAATTGGGAACCCATCTCATATAGACTGAAGCAGCCAATGCTTCGAGTGCAGATCAGGTGAGTCAGACTCTATCTCGCACACTAGTTGAGAAGCTGGGGGAGGGGTAGGAATGGCTAACCACACACACACACACACACACACACACACACACGCGCGCGATGCCATGAGCAGAGCTGAAGGGAGTGCAACTGTGCTGCGAAAGCAAGAGAGCAGAGCGTTCATGAATTTCACGAGTGTGACCCACTTTTAAATTTGGCACTTCCAACACCATGCCTGTTATTCCAGTGTAGCAGCTGACACGTTAGGATCATGAATAAGCAGAAATGTAAATGATTTTACCCTAGAAAATCATTCTGAATATTGAGTATTATTTTTAAAGTCAGGAAGCGAGCCTTCACTGTCATGGCAGACTGCTTGGCTGCTGTTCCTGCCAACTTTGAGCAAAGAAATATTTCCCTTCGGCTCTGATTTTCAACAGAAGCAAACAAGGAAGCAATGTGGCTGACTTCCGTTCTGGGGGCTCAGTATTAAGTTGGCTGAGGAAGCTGCCGTTTGCAGAAATCATTCTGGGATCAGTCAAGGGGGAGAGCGCTGGTGCCCAGATGGCAATGTTTTCCACTCCAATTACAGCAGGATACTAATGTCTTACTCTCCAGAATTAACCGCTCCTTGCTGTATTTACAGTGCATCTGCTCTGTTCTGCCTTTAGTCACATGTGTAAAGTGGAGGCGCTCCTACAGATCGCCACAGTTGACACAGTGGAGGCGCTCCTAGCCACACAGTTGACAAAGTGGCATTCTGAGCTGGCTAGGAGGAAAGCACATGGAGAGCAGCTTGCATGTTCTCCATCCACAGCAAAGAGCAAACACAGTTGTGCTGCTTACCGCCAGTGTTGCCATGGGGATCTGTGATAGTACAAAGTTAGTTCTGGGGCCAAAGAGATGGCCCAGTGGGCACACTGTGCAAGCTCGAAGACCTAAGTTCCACCCCGGGACCCACATAAAGGTGGAATAAAGGTGCAAGGGGAGAACTGACTCTACAAAGTTGTCCTCTGACCTCCAAACATGCATCATGGCACACACACTGCCTGCCAGCTACATATTAATATGTGTCATGATATACACATATATATGCATACACACATACATATATGCACACTAACTAAATCTATATATCTATATGTGCATATACATACACACATTTTTAAAGTTATTTTATTTGAAGAGGTCGTTTTGCGGGCCATTTACTCAAGCGTTTCTAGTCTGTATTTCCAGTTGTATCCTGGAGCCCACAACACTACTTTCAGACATATGGGCAATCTCAACTTAAACATCAACATATTTTCTGGCACAATGAAAATCATCTGTGTTGATCCTTTCTGGAGCTTTAAGTCCCAGCATCATTCTGACTTTTATCCTTTCTGCCGCAACAGTGACTGTGAGTGGATGGCAGGATATCTGTGAACCAGCTTAGATCCAGGACCTCTCCATCCCATTTTCTTCTCTCTGCCGTCTGAAACTGAGCGAGACCTCACTGGTCTTTAACTCAGTAGATACAACCTCTCCTGGTAACCCCAGACATACTTGTCCAACATACACACAGCTTAGAGGGTATTCACACAATCCTTACAGTTTTGTAATGCCAAATTATAGGATTTTGTAGTTTAGAGGCTAGAAGAATGGGTTCTGGAGTTACAAGTACTCAGTCCTTGCTCTGGGTGAAGCCCAGGCTGGAAATGTCTTAGTTTTCACACCTAATGAATGAGGTTATTATCAGTAATCATCTTGGAATGTCTGGAAGCATGAATGTGGGCACATTATAAATACATGCTGTTGTTATTAGTATACTTTTTAAATATTTCCCAGTTAGGTCAACTGTAACTACCCAGATCACAATCCTTTTATCCCATCTGGGTGTAATCCCAGCTTAGCCTCCATCTTTGGAGGCCCCCTTCCCTGAGCCCGTCAAACCTTGACCCCTCCCCAGGAAAGGACAAGACCACTCCCACAGGTTATTTAAACTGCTCCCCAGAAAATAATCACGTGGTCTTCCCTCTTCCTCTTTGGTGGTCATGTCTGCTTTCCCCCCTCCACATGAGAGTGCATACGTCCAATTAAACCTGTATATCTTTTAATTTGGTTTGCTTTGGTCTGATTAGGATTATTTGCGTCGGTAGAGAAGCTCATTTTTAGGAATATTCCTAACACTGGGCACCACACTCTTAAGTCAATTTAACTCCTTGTGATCTACCCAAATACCGCCTTTTAAAGAAAGACAAACTCTATTAGGGGACTTTTCACTACCCAAGAGATAAGCTTAAAACTCCAGCTAGCACCTGTAACTCTCTAGAAGTTGAATATGTAGGCGGCAGTGCACACAAGCACAAACTGCTTGAAGCTGTACGATTGTTAGCTGTTCCTCTATCACTCGCTCAGATGTGCTCTGGAACTCTTAGTTTCCGGATCTGGAGGCTGATTCCATCATGATCCCTTTCTTTGCCTAAAACCGTACAATGTTCCCAGTCTGTGAACTTCAATTATGTGTCTCTTACTCTCCACTGTCTCTAACTTCCAATGTAATGTTCTAGTTTTAGTTGCTTTTTGCTTATCATTTCCCTTCCCCAGCGATATCTTCCCATGAGACTCTGCCTGCAATCTCATCTCCTGTTACTCAGGAAACCTACTTACCCAAACTCTCCCCCAACCTCCTTATTTGGGGTTTCTTTAGTCTCTAGCACCCTGAAAGCTAAATTTCAGTAAGACTCAGCAGTTTCCCTTCAGCTGCCTCTCTGCTCAGATGTCCATGATGGTAAGCCCAGTCTGAAAAACCTCAGCGTTTGACAGAGACCACTTTCTGGGGAAGGGTGCAACATACAGAGTTCAGATGAGCTTCAATCTGGAGAAGCAAAGGTGTCCGTTCAAAAACTTCCAACTAGTTTCCTGTTCTCAGGCTCTGAAAACTGTTCACGAAGATATCTGAAGAGGAGGAAACAGCCTTTTGTTGTTGGCTTATTTTCTTTAGGAGCGGCACTCCAGAGAATCTGATCTATATGGCTTTGCAAACTCAACTTTGAGAAAATACCAAATTAACCTATGGTGCTTGTTAAAGAAGTAGAGTTCTGGCCTCTCTCAGATGCACATTATAGCTGTACTGATTTACAAATCAAGCTTACGGTTCTGTTAATTGTCATGACAACGCTGTAATTCAGCAATTCCCACCTGTGGAACAGGGAGTCCTGGGTGTCCCTGACAGTTTCATGTCCCTGCTCATATGTGACAGAATTTTTCTAAAGGCTATACAAAGATGATATTCAAGAGAACATAGGGGAAAACAGACCCTAGCTGTATTCTAGAAAGCCAAGCATTAGAGAAATTGTATTTTTGTTGTTTTTGAGAAAAGGTCTCTCGTAGTCCAGACTGATCTCAAATTTTCACCCCAAGATAAACTTAAACTCCTCCTCTCGCCTGTATCCATCTCAAGTGTTGGGATTATAGACACCTGCCAGCACTTCCAACTGGAAAATAGTCTTTATACAAATGTCAGTTATCGTCTAATGAGCTTACTATTTTAAAATAAGCTATTTTTTTTGAGAGTGACTTTGATTTCCTAAAAGAAAATTACTGGTAGTTGTAACCTACATAAAAAAAAAAAACCCTTTCGAAAATCTTGTTAAGTTTAAGTGCAATGGATTCCCAAAACCAAAAAAAATTACAATTGTTGCTCTATTAATGACAATATGAAAAAAATAAGACAGTTACTAGCTGGCCAAGACACATGCCTATTCTGTACATTTTCCTTCACAAAAGAAAACCAGAAGAAATCCATTGATGTGGATTCCCCTATGTATGCTGTGAATACCATTGCTTAATAAAGAAATGGCTTTGGCCTATACAAGGCAGAACTTAGCTAGGTGGGGGAAACTAAACTGAATGCTGGGAGAAAGAAGGCAGAGTCAGGAGAAGTCATGCAGCCCCCCCCCCCCACCCGGTAGGAATCTTGCGGGTGAGCCATAGCCATGTGGGGATACACTGATTAATGGAGATGGGCTAATTTAGAATAGAAGAGTTAGCCAGAAATACGTTTAAGCAATTGGGCGAAATAGCATTGCAAATAATATGGTTTCTGTGTGATTATTTCAGGGCTGAGCAGCCGGGAACTAACAAGCGGCCTCCAACAACAATCCATTTTATACTTTTAGTTTATTTGTTGACCAGACACTTTTGTTTGAGACAGGATGTAGTTATTTAGCTCTAGCTAGCCTAGAACTCACAATGTAGCCAAGGCTAGCCTTAACTTGCAATTCTACTTCAAAGGAATAGGCATTTAGTAAGATCCCAGGTAACACCAGTGTACCAAAATATAAAGAATTATCATCGAAAGTAAAGGAAAATAGTCGAAGGGTTTCAGGAAGTGGTAATTACATCTGGACACTGATATAAGGGATTGACCAGAAGGAGGAAACCTGGATCCTTTGTTGTTGTTGTTTGTTTTTAGGTGCTAGAGATCAAATCCAGACACATGACAGGCAAACGCACTACCACTGAGCTATACACCACACAAGATCTGGACACTTGAAAGCAAATCTTAGCTTCCTTAGGCTTTAGGTGCCCCCAGTTTTACAAAATCGTGTTTAATGTTTTCATGATTCTGTCGGCGACAGCTCAGGGGCAAAGGAAGAAGAGCAACCCTGAAATTATGAGTCAAAAGGACGTCACCCACCTGCTTAGAGAACTTTAATTACTTCCCAACGAGTTCCAAATTAAAAGTCGAACTCCTTGTCACTGACCCGACAAGGACTCAAGTGCCCAGGTCTCTGTTCTACCTCCCTCCCTCCGCGCTGTCCCCCTCTGCTCCTTCCTTCTTTCCACTTCCTCACTCAGTTCCGCTCCGTAAAAAAAAAAAAAAAAGAAAAAAAAAACTTCGATAACGCATTTAGCTACTATCTTAGATGGCGTTGTTTTGACTTGTTTGTGGGCTCCCTTCCCCATCCCCTAAGCAGGGTCCTCACTGGTTTCCCTGGGGCGTCGCTGGCCCTCTCTAGGAGTCCGTAAATACTTCATGGCGGAACCCCACCCCCACCCCAGGCCTTCACGGACGGCGGGCAACCCCGCACCTTCCGCGCCCAGCCCCAAGCATCCCCCATCTCTCAGGGCGCTACCTGAGCAGAATAAACACTCACCTCACCGGAGTCAGCTCCTTCCGCCCCAGCGGATGCCTGACCCGGAAGCACTCCGTGAAGGCGACTCCGCCTCCGTACGGAGTTCAGGACTACTTCCGTGACCGTCGGAGTGGCGAGCTGGCTGCCGTAGCCTCGGTGAGGGGTGGGGAGTGTCGGGTCTGCGGGGCTTCCGGGTGAGGGTGGCGAGGGCTGGGGTCGCTGGGGTCACGGGTTGGAGGGCTGCTGCGCTTGCGGCTGTGTCCGGGGGTTTTCGTCAGTCTCAGGGGCTGAGGAGCTTGTTTACCTCAGGCCTGGGGGTGGGACCTGCGTGCGGGTGTGCGGAGACTGGAGACTGGCCTCGTTAGCCTGGGAGCCGCCGCTGCCCGCCGCCCGCCGCCCGGCCTCCTCGTCGCGCGGTCTGGCTGCGGCGCTGACCCCGGCCCGGCTCTCAGCCGCGCTGCCTCTGGGTAATGCGGTGGGGACGCGTGTGCATCGAATGTGTTCTGTCGTTCGACTTCTCCCGTCATCGGGTCTTTCTCTTCCAATCAGGGAAGCACACTGACCACAGACTACCCGGCAAACATTAAATAGTACTATTCCGTCCGTCTGGTATGTGTTTAATTTTGTTTACAGGGACGGGGAGGCGGGCATCACTACACACAGAATCTCGTCGCCTGGCTCAGCCTGAAAGCCTGGCACATCCTCGATGCTTCTTAAAATCTTAGTTGTGCAAGGGAAAGAATAGGGGCAACCGGAGTTTACAAATTTGTAATGTTCTAGTGCCATAAATTAAATGAAATTTTTTGCAACGTGTGTATTTGCTTACATATAGCACATCTGTGGACTTACCATATGTTGAAAACTGGAGAAAAGAGAAAAAAGTAGTTTTAAAAGATAATTTTTTTCCCCTTAGATAAGGTTTCTCTGTAGCTTTAGTTCCTGTCCTGCAACTAGCTCTTGTAGACCAGGCTGGCCTCGAACTCACAGAGATCCGCCTGCCTCTGCCTCCCGAGGGCTGGGATTAAAGGTGTGTGTCACCACCGCCAGGCCACAGTTTTTTTTTTTTTTTTTTTTTAACTACAGCTGCAAGAACAGCTTCTGAACTTGTGCAGGCATGTCGGTGTCTTGTTATTAGATCAGCCTTTGGACTGAGTGGGGCAGAAGTGGCCTTACATTTCTTCTGTCTGTGTGCTTGAGACAGGGTCTCACATTGTAGCTCTGTCTGTCCTAAAACTCACTATGTAGACCAGGCTGGCCTTAAACTCTTAGAGGTCTCCCCACCTCTACCTCCCAAGTACTGGGATTAAAGGCACGCACCACTGAGTTTTTTTTTTGTGTGTGTGTGTGTGTGTGTGTGTGTATGCTTCAATTATTGTGCTGTATCCCACCTACCTTCCTTGTTAATTTCTTTTTTAGTGCATTAGAAGGATGGCAGCATGAGTTGGCTTTGTCCTGTACTTAGTACACACCCTTGTAGTTGGGTTTAATTAATTAAAACCCATCATCAGATATAGGGGTTGAAGCTGAAGATCAGAGAAGTAGAGCAGTAAGCCACTAGAGAGACCTTTTACCTCTACCAATGCTTAGACTGAAGGGGCGATCCTCAGACTGCCTAGGCTGCACTGTGACTCCACCAAACCTCAGACTCCAATGAGCTCTTGTCTCCTCCTCCTTATATGCCTTTCTCTGCTCAGCCACTCACTCCTGTATCCACCTATCTAGTGCTGGGATTAAAGGTTTGTGTGAGTTCTGTTTCTCTTTTTAGACAATTCCATCCCCGTAGCCCAGGGTGGCCTTGAATCCTGGGATTAAAGGTGTGTGCTACCACTCCCTGGCTTCTAGTGGTTTAGCACTGCACTCTGATCTTCAGGCAAGCTTTATTTATAAAACCACAAACAAAATACCAGGCCAGTTAAGCAGTTGGCCTGCTGTATCTGGGACTCAGCATTCATAGACTTAACAAAACCTAAGTGAAAAAAGTTTCATCTGTACTAAACCTATGTGGACTTGGGATTGTTCAGTTTAAAGCCATTTACATAAGGCCTGGCAGTGGTGGCTGGTGGTGCATGACTTTAATCCCAGCACTCGGGAGGCAGAGACAGGTGGGGGTCTCTGTGAGTTCGAGGCCAGCCTGGTCTAGAGAGCTAGTTCCAGGACAGCCTCCAAAGCTACAGAGAAACCCTGTCTAGAAAAAGTCAAAAAGAAAAAAAAAGTCATTTACATAGCATCACAGGTGGTGTTAGACATCACAAATGAAGCAGAGGTGACAAGACTGTGAAGATGAGTCTTGGTTATATGCAGATCCTATCCACTTTATAAAAGGGACGTGACCACTGTAGATTGTGTTGTCTGTAGGCTTCTTGCTGCCAGTTCCTTACAGATACCAAGGGACTTTGTATCAGCTCTGTATGTGGTAACATTTTGTATAACTAATGTATACATGGATACATGTAAAATTGGAAGGATACTGGTGAATTGTAACAATGTTAGCTTCTGCTGGGGGGAGTGGGGGAAGGTATATAGGATCTCTTCATCTTGTACTAGTATATGAATCTGAAAGTCTCAAAAATATTAAGCAGATAGTTTATACTAAAGAAGCTGGCATCAGTAGATTCTTGTGCTTTTGTTTTAGCAGGTGATGTTCTAGTCATGTCAGATAAGGATGCTACAGAGACCCCAACGGTAACTGAAGCAGGCCCGATCCTTCAAGATGGGAACTGTGAGCCAGCTGAGAAGCCAGAGAAGAAATCTCAGCCTGTAGCATCCACTCGGAAAAGACCAGAACCCATTCTTTCCAGGGACCTTGAGGCTTCTCAGCTTCCTGCCCAGGTGACACAAACTGTAACCAAAGTAGCAATCTGTTGAAATTGTGGGATTTAAAAATAAAAGGCTTAAAAGGGACATGGTATTACTAATTTACTGTGGCCCTTCCTTTTTTTTACAGCCGTAAAGTAACAGCTTTCTGATTTCTAGAAATACCTCTGTCAGTAATTGTGTTTGCTGCGGGGTATTTATGTGCTGATGGCATTTATCTGTCAATCAGGTGATTTTTACCCAAGTCACGGATTTGCCCGGTTGTGCTTGTCTACTGAGTCGATAGCTTGTCTGTGCTCTTCGGAGTCTCCTCTAATTTTCCTGTTTCCTTTGTCTTGTTTTCTTTCTCACTGGAAAACTAGGAGGCTGTTTGTAAAGATGCACCTCAGACTGGATGGGGCTACTGGGGCAGCTGGGGCAAGTCCCTGCTCTCCTCAGCCTCGGCTACAGTAGCGACAGTAGGTAAGACCCTTGGTCATTTTCTTAGGTTTTGTGTACACTGTGCTCATGCCCTGCTCTGTTAGGAAGCTGAAGTCTAGGGATTAGTTTAAGCCTACGCTTTAGTGATGGTAAGTCAGTGGGATTTTTGTCTTTTGGTAAGGAGATAATGACAAGAATCCATATATTATTAAAATAATGTGCCTTGGGACCATGATTTTAGAAATACTGCAGACTTGGGTTTTTGTTTGTTTTATTGATTCTTCAGTTTCAGTAACAACACAGAGCACACAAATGTTAATTGTCTTTCCCATTAGGACAAGGTATTTCAAATGTCATCGAGAAGGCGGAGACTTCTCTTGGAATTCCTAGCCCCACTGAAATTTCAGCTGAAGTCAAGCAAGCTGCAGGTCAGCACATGTGCTCAGGGTTTTGGTGGAAATGGGCATTTCAGTTCATTTTCAACACTAACACTTTGTAATAATACTAATTCAGCACTTGATACTCAGGGCGACTCGGGACTGTGAGGAAGAGGGCGGGAATCTTGAGCGCTGGCCGTGTCTCCTGAAACCATTCATATGTCTCTTTATTGCACTTTTGCATGGATTAAGTGATTCAGAGGACTGGTAAACATTTACAATAAGGCCACGAGCATAGAATGTGAGAAGTGCTCTGTGTTCTGTCCGCCATAATTAAGTTTATCATCAGTAAGAATTAGCTAAGTTTGAGTAAGTTGTGGCAAGACAAAAAAGATTTTACTGTGTTAGCTTTTTTGTTCTCACTTGGATTTTTTTTTTTTTTAAAGTAAAGATGAAACCTTATTCTGGTCTGTCTGGATCAATGGAAAACCTATAGTCACTCAGACCCAAAGGGCACAGTTATTATCACTATGGATCTAGAGGGTCAGGGGCCAGAACAGAGTTTTAAAACCATGTTTACTTCTTCTGTCTCTTGGGGGCCTTATTGTTTCTCACTGTTGCTTTTCGTTGCTTATTTCTATCATTTTCCCTTGACGCCACAGGACTGTTTTCTCCAGCTCCACCTTTATAAAATTCTGGCACACATGACCTCCAGAAACTAGCTGACACCAGTTATTCCACTTAGGAATTTCTTGGAGTAAGAATTAGATTAGCATTAAAATTAGGTCACTTGACGGCATGTAGTTTAATTATGGCCAGAGACAAGCTCATGTTACACAAACATGGCCCCACAGGCTTCTGCCTGTGAATTTGAGGCTTTGTTCAGTGTGTTTGTTTAGACTGAGTCTGGAGTAGCCTTTACTCCAAGGGTTTGTTTCAGGCCCAGCCCTCCTGGGGGCTCAATTCACTTCCCAGGTGCTTAGTCTGCTCCATAGGTTGGAAGTCAAGTTTCTTAGCTTTGTGTGAACTATGGGATTGTTTAGTTTACAGCTCCAAGGCAGGTTCTTTTTCCAGCCTTGGGGAGTCTCTTTGTGCCGATGTACTGAAAACTGAGCAGTGCAGTATTCATGGAAAAGCACTCAGACATATGTGTGTAGAAGCTGAGAATTCTGGGATGCCTCCATACTCTCCAGTCTTGAAGATTCCTCTCAACTCTTGCTGTCTCCCGTCTCTCTGTCTTTCCCTCCCTTTTGGTACTTGGAAAGTTCTCCTGGACAGCAAGCCAGTTCAGCCATGGGAGTCACTTTAGTTCTCTGTTCTGTTGATCCAAAATCTTCTTGCCTGACTTTGAAAGTAGTTTCTAATCTCTTGTGCAGTTTTGTAGCTGCCATGGTAGGAGGGCAAGTCCAACATTAGTTAATACATTGTAACTGGAAGCAGAAGCCCGCAAATCAGGTGATAGTTCAGTCTGTAAACTGATTGTTATAGCATGAGGACCTGAGGTCCCACCCCCAGAACCCATGTGAAAAAAACTCTAATACTGCAAACTGTTGGGAAGGCAGAGATAGGAAGCCGCCTGGGGCTTGATGGTCAGCTAGCTTAATCAGTGAGTCCCAGGTTCCAGTGAGGAACTAACTGTCTCGCAAAATGCTATCCTAAAGAACAGTCAAAGTTAACCTCTGGCCTCCACATATCTGCAAATGTGTACTACACACACATGAACACATATTCAACACCCTCTTAGCCCCCAAAGTTGATCTCTTACAGGATTTTAAAAGTTAATAAATGGAACAGATTGTTTTTGAGGCACAACCACCTTTGTAATGCAGTCTGTTTGATGACAGGTGGTGAGCATCGTTTTCTAGGACACGGCGAGTTACAACTTACTTTTAGCTGTATAGCTCTATGTTTGGATCTTTGGAGAGGTAGTTTTGTTTATATTGTGTAATCGAAAGAGCACTGACAGGTACTTCCCTGGATCTATATTCTTGGAATATAAGAGTATTTTATTAACCAAGAAGATTCATGTACTCTCATCCCTGGTCAGCCACTTGTCTATTTCCCAGTGCTGAATGGTTTTCCCTTGTCCAGAAGTTTGTGTTTCTGAGATTATCCAGTAGATAGCCTGAATGCATATCAGTCTTTAGTTTGTTCAAGACTTGACTTTATTTTTGAAATGAAATAAATGGAAAACAACTGCCTACTTTGGCTTTTTATTTTAACATAGGCAGATGTTTTAAAATAAATACAGAAAGACCTGAAGCTTTGTGTGGAGAAACAGGGTCTAATTAAAAAAAAACACACACAAATTTGCTATTAAAGCAATTAATGATCCTTTCTTTCATGTTTACCACCCTCTATTTCAGGAGAAACAAATGGCAGTGAGAAGGAAAGCTCACCAGTGGTTGGTCCTTTTGGGGTGTTCTCGACCATCTCAACAGCTGTGCAGAGCACGGTGAGCGAAAAGTGCACGACCTGCCCTGTGTTGGAGTGATGGGCTGTGTGCCTGTCTCCCTGTCTTGGGATGCGTGTGTACTGTTGCTCCTAAGGGAGTTCAGAAAAGTGCTGTGTGAGCTGGTTATTTTCAGGACTGGCAAGTTCTGCTTTGGTGTCCTTAGGGAATGTCTCTGCTTCACAGAGATCTTTTCTTATAACTTCATCTTTTTTTAAAAATTTTTTTGAACTTTTTTTTATTGATATTTATTGAGCTCTACATTTTTCTCTGCTCCCCTCCCTGCCTCTCCCCTCTTCCCTTCAATCCTCCCCCAAGGTCCCCATGCTCTCAATTTACTCAGGAGATCTTGTCTTTTTCTACTTCCCATGTAGATTAGATCCATGTAAGTCTCTCTTATTGTCTACATTGTTGTCTAAATTCTCTGAGATTGTGGTTTGTAGGCTGACTTTTTTGCTTGATGTTTAAAAACCACCTATGAGTGAGTACATGTGATAATTGTCGTTCTGTGTCTGGGTTACCTCACTCAAAATAATGTTTTCTAGCTCCATCCATTTTCTTGCAAAATTCAAGCTGTCGTTATTTTTTTCTGCTGTGTAGTACTCCATTGTGTAAATGTACCACATTTTCCTTATCCATTCTTCAGTTGAGGGGCATTTAGGTTGCTTCCAGGTTCTGGCTATGACAAACAAAGCTGCTATGAACATAGTTGAGCACATGTCCTTGTGGCATGATTGAACATCCTTTGGATATATACCCAAAAGTGTAATTACTGGGTCTTGAGGAAGGTTGTTTCCTAATTTTCTGAGAAATCGCCCCATGACATCCAAAGGGGTTGTACCAACTTACATTCCCACCAACAATGCAGAAATCTTATAACTTCATCTTTTAAGCAGAAGGGAAATTTGATCTTTTTGATGGACACTTGCTAAACTGTAGATGATGAGAATGTTTAAAAAAGGATAGCATAGGGCTCTTAATGTCTTTCCTACATTGGGGTAGATGGCTAGTATTTTTCTTTTCTTTTTATTTTTAAGAGACAGGGTCTTGCTTTGTAGTCCAGACAGCCTCCATATGCAGTTACCCTGCCTCTGTTCCCAAGTGTAGGGATTGCAGGCATGTCTTACCATGCTTAACCACATATTAACTTTGAAATATGGTAGCACATAGAATATGACATCATATGTGTTCAGTTTGAATTTTCATAGCATACTACTTTTAACCATAGTAAGAAACCTGTGAGTCCATTGCCTTTCCTTCTTGAGGCATGTGCTCTTCCCCAGCTCAGATAACCACTGCCAGGACATCTGCTATCATGAGTTAATTTTGACCTCCTCTTGTGCTTTGTATAAATGGAGCCATAGGTGTCTATACATGTCCATGTTGCAGCTTTGCTGTATTCCTAGTGTGACTCTGTCACATTTTATTGCTCCTACAATTGGTAAACACCAAGCCAGGCTCCAGTGTAAGCTGTTACAGAGTGTTGCATTGCACACCCTTATTCATGTCTTCTAGTACATCTCTGCACACATTCTCTTGGGTGTGTAGCTATGAATGTGTTGCTAGGTAATGCAGCTGCAGTAGATACTGACCCACAGTTTCCCAAAGTGGTTCTTCCTGTGTGTATTTGTGTGAGCTGTGTATGATTTCTTTAGCTGCTTCTCAGCCTGCCCAGTGCTTAGTAGTTTCTGCTTCTTCTTTTTTAATCTCTTGGTACTGGGATTAAGCCTAGGGCCTCACACATGACAGAAAAATACTCCACCCTAGCTGCCTTTTACCTTTTATTCTGAGGAGGGTTCTCATCATTTGCCCAGACTGGCCAGAGTTTACTGGTTGTTCCTTTGCTGTACCTGAATATTCTCCTCTGTCAGCCTCCTGCTTACTGGCGCCACACTGTTCAGCCATTACTGAACAGTCAATCTGTAAACACTCTCAGTGTTGTTATAGTGGAGTTTTACTGCTTTCCTAGGGCAAGAGCGTTATCAGTGGGGGTTTGGATGCCTTGGAATTCATTGGGAAGAAGACAATGGATGTCATAGCAGAAGGGGATCCTGGATTTAAAAGAACCAAAGGCCTGATGAATCGGAATTCTACACTGTCACAGGTACTGTTTCCTTTACCTGTGTGATTCCTGTTTGTGCTTTGATTTGATTTTAGCCGATGTTAACTTGGGAACCTTGTTGATGTTTTTTCTTTTGAATTCTTTGGGGTTGAGGGTGGACAGTGAGAGCGCAGTGCATAGAGAAGTTCCTGCTGTTTGTCCCTCGTCTCTTTGTTGCGGCCGCCTCCTGTCAGCAGAGCGGACTGCTAAACCCTGTCAGAGCTGTTGATTAATTGTTAAACCACCTGCAGAACAGTACCTGGTGTCTTGGGTGTCAGATTCTGTGTGATGACTTTCTTTCGGCCATCCCCCAGCTTCTTGGATGTGAACTGCGAAGCCAGGCTGAAGGGGCCGTGCTCTGAGTGGAGCCCGAGCAGCTGTGCTCCTTTCTGCTCTGTAACCTCACTCTTGAGCTCTCATTACGTGGTGCATCGCAGTGCTTTCTTCTCTTTTTAGGTTTTACGAGAGGTGAAGGACAAAGAAGAGCAGTGGCCCTCCAGTGAGGTAACCATGGAAACAGACAAGAAAACTCATTATGGGCTACTCTTTGATGAGTTTCAAGGCCTTTCACATCTAGAAGCTCTGGAGATGCTTTCACGAGAAAGTGAAATAAAGGTAATTCCCAACCCTGCACCCCTCCCGAGAAAGTCTTCACACAAGGATGCTGCAGATGTTTCTCTGTTGTGCATTTGAAAGGCTCAATGTTTTGATGGTGGCTTGAGACTTTGGAAGTGCCCTACACACAGCAAGCAGAGACTGTGCATGAACTAAGTGCTGGGAAGAGTCACGGGTGATTGTCCTTATGACACAGAAAGGACAGGATTAAAAAAGAGCTCTTAACACATTTGCCATTTCCATCATCTGTCTGTTTGTATTTATCTATTTTCTGTAGTCTCTTTGGCTTTAGCTGCCAAAAAACTTACTTAAGCAACCAGTTTGCATGCAGTTAACTATTGGCTTTTAGTTGGTTGAAGTTTGTGTGTGTGTATGTGTAAACAAGACCTCACTGTGTAGCCCTAACTGGCCTGAATTTGCTGTAGACTAGTCTGGCCTCAAACTCATTGAGATCTGATTGTGCTTCCTGAGTGTTGGGATTAAAGGTGGACATCATCATACCTGGATCAGTATTCACCTTTTTTTATTTGTGTATGTGTATGCCATGTGCGGCAGGTTCCCATGGATGCCAGGAGGAGATACCAGATCCTCAGAGCAGGGATTGTAGGTGATAGTGAGCAGCACGGTTGGGATCTAAACTCAGGTCCCCTGGAAGAGAAGCAAGCACTCTTAGCTGCCGAGCCATCTCAGCCCAACTGAAGACCTTTCATTCCCCTTTGTTTCTAAGCTGCGGTTAAGCACTGATAGTTTTCAGACAGCTCTAGCCCATGTGACTTTGGAAAGCACAGATTTTCCCAACTTTCCTTTCTGTAGCAATTAGCTTTTGAATTAAAATTCTTTTTTTAATGATTTGTTTATTCTTATTTTATGTGCTTTGGTGTTTTGCCTACATGTGTTTCTGTGTGAAGGTGTCAGATTCCTTCAGACCAGAGTTACAGAAAATTGTGAGCTGCCATGTGGGTGCTGGGCATTGAAGCTGAGTCCTCTAGAAGAGCAGTTGGTGCGCTTAACCACTGAACCATCTCTCCAGCTCCACGTTAAAAGTTTTAAGGACTAGGAGTTGGCTGTGGTGATGCAAGTCTATAGTCCTGATTCTCAGGAGGCTGAGGCAGGAGACTTGAGAGTTCAGGACTAGCCTGGGCCACATAGTGAGGTGGTGCTCCCCCTCCCTCTCCAGAACAGCTGTGCTAACTGGTTAGTTTATCATTCAGATTTCATTTGACCCGCGGACTCATCTCTATTTGAGATTCTTTTAATTTTCATTGTCTCATATCCATTTAGGTGAAATCTATCCTTAGTTCTCTGAGTGGAGAAGAATTACAGACCACAAGACTTGAGCTAGAGCAGCTCAAAGAAGTGTTCTCCCTAGCAGATTTCTGTGAGGAAGAGGAGGAGGAGAGACAAGGTAACCAGGCTTCTGCACCCAAGTGGTGACTCCTTTGTTGGCTGCAGCGATGCCCTTGAAGTCAGTTACTGGCCCGACTGTACTTTCCTTACAGAATCTCCATGCTTTTCCCTCACCAGGGCTTGCCCACTCTCTCCTGCAGGGTCCTGCCACTTCCCTAAGTCTCATCTGCTGCACAGGTCTCTGTTGCTGTTTTGGAGATCTGTACCTGTCAGATCCTTTCCTGTTTGGTCGCCACTGTGAGCCTTCATGTCTATTCAGACACTTCAGCTGTGCCCTTCCCCTTCTGTAACCCCTGGCCCTTTCCTAAAGCATGCAAGGCAGTTGTTACTCAGACTGCGGGGGGTAATCCTTTGTCTTTGTCATGTTTACAATTTAATATCTGTATATGTTAGGAAATGTAAATGTTGAAACGACTCAGTTTTGCAAAATTATCAGGAAATACGGTTTACTTATAGTTCCTGGGAAGTGCATCTTAAACTCTGATCAGGACAGTTTTATTTGGATATTTCAGTTGAAAATATTTCCAAAATTAAGAAGCAAGAGTTTAATGATGATTTTGCCCTTTTTTTTTTTTTGATGAAGCAAGCAGTTAGAAGCATTGGAATTGGGCCAGGTAATGATGGCGCATACTTTAATCCCAGCACTTGGAAGGCAGAGGCAGGTGACTCTCCGTGAGTTCGAGGCCAGCCTGGTCTCTAGTTCCAGGACAGTCTCCAAAGCTACAGAGCAACCCTGTCTTGAAAGAACAAAATAACAAAACAAAAACCCACAAAAAACCTTGAAGTTTAATGTAAAGATTCCTTCAGAGATCATCGTGGCATGTGGGGCCTGCCGCCTGTGCAGCAGGTTAAGCTGGTGGTTTGTGAGGTGTGGTGATCCTATGTTCCTGTCACCCTTCAGGGAGTCAGACCTGCACAGCACTGTCTGAATGGAACAGAACTTCCTCTACAGACTTTTAATTCAGCTTTTACTGTTTTAACACCCAGTTGATGAATAGCCACAGGTGAAACTGGTGCTGCCACAGTGTGTCTCTGTCAAAGTGGTAGCTCTTACACTGCTGTGTTGAGTCTTTATTGCCAGCCACTCAGAGTTACAAGGAAAGGGCTCGTTTCATTGACCCTTGAATTGGAGAAAGTGGTATAAATTATTAGTGTTATCAGATCTCAGCTCTAAAGTGCACTCCCATATTCTGTGCAGCGGATACTGAAGGATGATCGTTGTCTCAGGAAGAGCATGTGGTGTTGGGTTTGAGCTGAACCCTCTTCTGACACAGAAGACTGTTTTCACAGAAGTATGAACAGCGCATAGGCCATTCAGAAGGGAATAGCTGGTGGAGCATGCCTGTAGCTCCAGTACTTGGGAGGCAAAGGCAAGAGGAATGCAGTGAGTTCCAGGCCAGCCTGGGCTATATAGTGAGACTGTCTCAAAAAAAACCAAAAACCAACTAACCAAACAAAAAACAAAAAGAATAGTAACAGGGCTGGAGAGATGGCTCAGTAGTTAAGAGCTGCTCTTGCAGAAGACCCAGGCTTGATTGTTAGAATCCAGACCAGGTGACCTACAGCTGCCTGAGACTCCATCTCCAGGGTATCCAATTAGTCAGGGTTCTATTGCTGTGAAGAGACATTATAACCACAGCAGCTCTTATCATTGAAAGCATTTAATTGGGGCTTGCTTACAGTTTAGAGGTTTAGTCCATTTTCATCATGGCAGGGAGTACGGCAGCACACAGGCAGACATGGTGCTGGAGAGTTCTACATCCAGATCCTCAGGCAGCGGGAAGAAAGCAAGCCACTGCTCCTGGCATGGGCTTTTGAAACCTCAAAGCTCACCTGCAGTGACACACTTCCTCTAAAAAGGCCACATCTACCCAACAAGGCCATACCCATCCAACAAGGCCATACCCCTAATCTTTTCAAATGGTGATACTCCTTAATCTAATAATTCAAACATATGAGCCTCTGGGGGCCATTCTTATTCAAACCATCACATACCCCTGCCAACACAAATATAATTAAAATAAAATTCATCTTTAAAAAGCAACAGCAAGGTGAATGAAATGACCCTTGACTTGTTTAAGTCACTGATGAAGAAAATTCAGAATATGTGAAAGTTAGAATTTTGTGAACCATATTTATGAACTTGGCAGTTTCCAGGGCTGTTTGTGCACTCTTCTGAGGAGCCCTGTGGTGCTAGTACAGTAGCATTCACATTTGTGTGTTTTACAGTGAAATGTGTCAGCATTTTGGATATCTTCCCAACAGAAATGAATGTTTTTCACTGACTGATATGTGATGTATAAAATTGCACCTGAGCAAGAGATAGTCCAGTGGGTTTTAATTTAAGACAGTCATGTACAAGACTGGATAGTGTGTCTTCAGGTTCATTGTAATATAGGTCGTTGCTGCTAACCTTTAAGAAATAAGCACTTCCTGAATTTTCCTGTAGTATTAGAGTATTCAGTGGGAGCTGGAGAGATGGCTCAATGGGTAAAATGCAAGTGTAGGAACTGAGTTTGAGTCTCTAGAACTCATGTGACAGCTGGGCATGGTAGAGGGCTTCTGTGATCTTAGCATCCTTACAGGGAGGTGGGAAGTGGAGACTGTCAGAATCCTGGGATATTGCAGGCCAGTTAGCCTGAAGAACACTCCAGTGGACATCAAAGAGACCCTGTCTTAAACAAAAAGGAAGGCAAGGGCTCACACCCAAGGCTGTTCCTCTGCCCTTTTCCCTTTCTTTCTCTCTCCCCCTCCTCTCTTCTTTTCCCCCTCCTCCATCTCTGTCATATACACTCACAAGATTATTCAAGGGTGATTATTACTGTTATCTGGAAAGTCATTAATCTTCCGTTGCTGCAGTGCCTCTCTGTAAGGTTGGATATTTTTCACATACTTAGAACATCCTGTCTCAGCAGTCTAAGTGTGAAACTGCTCAGAGAGTCTAGCTCTCTTCATTAAGTTAGCTGTCAGACGTGGAGCAAAGGTAGACAACAGTGATACTGTTTTCATTAAGTTTTCCATTTTTGGAAGTATGTTTTATTGGGGCTGGCAGCATAGCTCAGTGGGTAGAATGAATGTTTGTCTGTATACATGAAGCTCTGGGTTCAGTCCCACAACCACATAAAATGGGCCATGGTGACCCATGTCTGTAATCTCTGTACTTGGGAGGTGGAGGCAAGAACTTCTGTTAAAGTTCCTCTTCTACTGTGTAGACCCTGTTTCAAAAAGTTTATTTTTTTGACAAGTAGTAGGGCTAGTACCATTTGTGTGTGTGTGCGTGTATATGTGTGTGCGTGTATGTGTGTGTGTGTCGGGGGGTGATTCATGCTCATATGTGCATATTCTTGTTGAGGCCAGAGTATGATGTAGGGTGCCTTCCTGTATTGCTTTCCATCTTATGGTTTTGTTTGTTTGTTTGTTTTTGTTTTTTTGACAAGATCTCTCAGTGAGTCTGGAGCTCCAGCTTCTGCTAGGCTGGCTGACCAGTGAGCTCCCAGTGTCCTCTGCTCTGCATTCCAGCATTGATATTACAGACATGAGCTGTCATGCCTGGGTTTCACGTGCGCGCTGCAGATTCTAATGCGAGTCATCGTCCTTGCACAGCAGGCACGCTACTCATGGAGCCATCTGCCCAGCCTGGCTTTATTTTATTCCTAATAGTTTGCATTTTTCTTATATTGAAAATAGATTTTTTCCTCATACAATATATCCTGATTATAGTGTTTATTATTTTTAATGAATAAATACATTAGTTTTTATTTTTATCGCATTTAAAATATATATACTTTGCATTTAAAATAATAGTTCATGGGAGGCCATGGTGTTACAATGTTTGAGGATTCCTGGGCTAATTATGCCAAACTGCAGCCCTATAAAAACTGATCGTGATTGCTTTAGAACTGTGTGTCCCTGTTCTCTGGTGATTCATCTTTTACTTCCGTTGAGTATGGAATGCTTGTCTTAGACGGCTCTCAGTCTCACTTTAATTTTTTCCTTTCTAATCTACTGTGAGTGGGAAATCAAATAATTTTGTCTACTGAAAGCAAAGCAAAGACACCTCTTGGGCCTTTCTGTGTGAGAAGAACAGAGGCTGAGTGTGGCTTTACCTGTAAGACAGGGATGTTTCTGTTCTCTTTGTGTACTGAGAAGTCAAGCTTGCAGTATATGTAATGACCGTTTATGTAAAGGTTCAGCTCTTGATTGGAAATGGGATTTGAATGTCTGGAGATCTAGAGATGCCAGTTTAGTACCCCAAGTGATACAGTGAAGTTAGATTTGGGTTCCACCTCTCACAAAACCATGTGACCTCTGTAAGTGTCTCAGCATGGAGCCTTTGTTTCATCTTGGTTAGAAGATGATCTAATTCCTCTCATGGTGTCATGAGGAAAAATTAAATATATTTGTAGCCAGGCACATAATAGGTACCAAACAAATATTTGCTAGTATTTTCATTATTTAGAAAACATAAGTAATAAATAGGGGGAAAAAGCTGCATTTTAAAAAACTCAACAGGAAACCAATAAAGCAGTTTTGGTTTAAGTTGTTCCATTGTTCCTAACCAGACAGTTTCCATTTATTTATCAACCTAATTTAGGTTATTTGTACATGGAAAAATTAACAGTACTTGTTCAATTTAGTCAACATCTGGGCTTTGTATGATAATTAGAAGTCTTCATTTTTCTTTACTGTTCAGAGGGCTCCAAATTTTCTGAACAGATGGAACTGTCTGTGACATTTCTGCTTACCTTTGCTAGGAATGAAGACTTTGAAAACACAGTAGTGGCTCTTCCAGCGCAGTCCTCCTGCCTGCCCTGCCTCAGCTCTCCTATGTGGTCCTCCTGCCTGCCTGTCCCAGTTCTCTGGTTTTGGTGGAAAATGCTCAGTGACTTGATAGTTAATTGTATGTCACTGTTGCCGTTAAGACAGAGATTTGGGAATAACAAGAGGAGACGGTGCAGAGCCCAGCTCTGGATGTTGGTTGTTTTCCTTCCCATGAGCCCCCATGTTTTCTAGACCTCATTTCAGAGTCTTTCTGTATGGGCAGCTCCAGCCTCTCTATCCACAGCCCTCTTAAGCAGAAGTACCTGCCTCCTTTCCATCCATGCTCTAAACTCGGCCATTGAGCCCCACGCCCAGCCCAACAACTACTTCTGTTCTAATGCATCAGCTGTTTGTGTCCTCAGTTTATGTAGCAGGACTTGACAGCAATTACCACATTTTTTCATCACTGCTTTTAATAGTAACAGCTCTTTGATCACTCGGATAATATAGTTGAATGCTTATAAATTTCATATATGTGCTGTTGTAATGTTCTGTTATGAACAACCTAAAATATACCACAGGGTGGTATTGTTTTGTGGGGTAAATATAGATTTATAATTGGTTATTTTGTGAGCTCCGTGGACCACTCCAGGTGGTTTCAGAGTCCTCCCTTACACCCAGTCACAGTTAGAGCTTAGTTGGGAAAACCAAATGACCCAGGTGTTGTTTCCTTTCGTGGTAGGTTGTGACTAGGAGTTGTTTACATGAGTTATGTGAGCAAGGGCTGTATCAGCGAATAGCTGTTCCCTGCCTTAGCTGTCAAGAGAGAGGACAGAAGAACAGGTGGAAGAAAAGAACCAAGATGCTCCCACCCCGGAATTTTTCTGGGGATGTTTTTGGGGAAATATTAGGTATAAAGGAGAACTAATTTGGTGTTATGCACCATGGACTTATGATTAAGAAATACTCATGTTTGTGCTCAAAAATTTCTGTGTTGTAAGAGTTCTATTCTGCACTACACGGCCTGGGCCTCAGCAGGCGCCGATGGGCAGGGTTAAGATGAGAGAGAAAGGAGGGCATTATTGTTTGTGTAGGTGTCTCTTGTGTTCTCCTTATCCCAGTGAGGGCCTTTAATACTGAGATAACACCATGACCAGAGCAACTTAGGGAAGAAAGGGTTTATTTTGCTTACACTTTTAGGTAACTCAGACAGAGAAGAAACCTGGAGGCTGGGGCTGATGCAGAGGCCGTGGGGGGTGCTGCTTCTTACTGGCTTACTCTTCATGGCTTTCTCAGCCTGTTATCTTGTGGATCCCAGGATCACCAGCCCAGGTGTGACTGCCCACAATCAGCTGGGTCCTCCTGACCAATCACTGATGAAGACAGTGCTCTACAGGCTTGCCTACAGCCCCATCTTAGAGGGACATTTTCTCAATCGAGGTTCACTCCTCTCAGATGACTCAGCTTGGATCAAGTTGACTTAAATCTAGATAGCAGAGCATTCTTGATGGTCTTTCTCAAATGTTTTATGTGGGCCTTGGTTTTTAGGTGACGAAGATTTTACCAAGGAGATAACAGAGCTGTTTGCTCAGCTTCCTGTCTCTTCTAGACCAGAGAAACTCACCAGGGTAAGTTATTGCATTTTGGGGATCTTAGTTATTTTTTTTATAATTTTTTAGTGGGTAGTACAGTGTGGTGGCACATGCCTGTGATTCCACCACTTGGGAGGCTGATGCAGGGGAATTGCATGTTCAAAGCCAAGCCAACTTAGGCTACTTAGCAAGACCTTGTCTCTTATCCACTCCCATCCCCACCCCCGCCACCAATATATGGACGTAAGATTGTAATTTTCTGGCCAGTTAGATTTCCAGAATGGAGGGTTTATTCTTGATAGTTCTAGAAAAGGAGCACATTTTCCCTGCCTCCTGCTCTCCAGGTTAGCGTGTGAAGTCCGTGTCCACCTCTTCATCACATGTCCCTTTTTGACCTGTTTATATGGAGTGCTTCATTTGCTTGAATGCTTAATCAAGCTTGTAGAGTTGGTCATTTAAAGTTGACAGTGCTGGACCGGGCAGTGGTGGTGAACGCCTTTACTCCCAGCACTTGGGAGGCAGAGACAGGCCGATCTCTGTGAGTTCGAGGCCAGCCTGGTCTACAAGAGCTAGTTCCAGGACAGGAACCAAAGCTCCAGAGAAACCCTGTCTTGAAAAACAAACAAAACAAAACAAAATAAAACAAAAGTTGACAGTGCTGACCAAACTTCATGGAATCAAAGGTCAAGCTGTGGCCCCGTCCAGTTTGGACCTGGAGCTGGACATTGCTGTGGCCACACAATGACTGACAGTGACTCTGCTAGTGACCATTTAGAATGTGGGATGAGGAAGTACCATGACTGAGCCTGGTCTTTGGTGGAGACTCTGCACTGCCATGTGTCTAAGAGTCTTGTCTGAGCTCAGAGAAGGGCACTCCCGTGCATCCCACTGTCTGCTTATGAGATACTGTTGGTTTTCATGCATTGCTTCCAGCATCGGCATCCACCTCTCCCAACCCTGAACAGCTGCAGCAGAAGTCAGCAGCAGGCATGCCTCGTTGCTTGGCCACAGAGCTGCTGGCTGTGTGGAGTCAGCACAGCCATCCGTTCTCCCCTCCCAGCAGATGAGAAGTGAGAGACTTTGTGTTGTGTCCCAGTGTGCTGGCCTGGGGAAGATGGTGCATTCCCCAGTGTGTGCTCAGCAGCCACTTAGCACTCGATCTCCTGGTAATTGTTATATCACTGGGACTGAAATTTCTGATGTCAGCAGCTCAAGGGAGGAAAGACTTAGTAGTTAGCTCATGTTTTCAGAGGATCTTAGTCTGCCATAGTGGGGAAGGCATGGCTGTTCAGCCCTGACCCCATGGTGCCAGGAGTGTGAGGTACTGGCTGTTCCTATGGTAGCAGAGAGTGGCCTGGGCCATACCCTTCAGAGTCCTGCCCCTAAGAACCTTCTCATCCCCACCTCCGAAAGAGTTCACAGCCCTCCAGCATATTCCACCAGCTGGGAACTGTTCCAAATGTGAGCCCTTAGGGGACATTTCAGAGTCAAAGCATGACACTGCTTATAGTCTATTGGAAGCAACATCAAAAAGAAAGAAAATTTGACCAAAAACAGTACAAAAAATTCCTGTACGGTCACTAGTGTTGACATGCTACTTCTATTGCTAACCGCATGTACTTTCTCTGTCTTCACATGCATCTTGTTCTTGTAGCTGTTTGAGAGTAAGTGGGACGATGTGCCTGTCCCTTTGCATAACCACAGTATGGTTGTCACTTCCGCATATTTAACATGAATGAAAGACTTGGATTTCATCTGTTCTCCATATTTGTCAGCTGACTGTCCTAGTCATGGTTCTGTTGCTGTGAAGAGACAACATAACCATGGCAGAACTTATAAAAGAACCCACTTAATTGGGGGCTTGCTTACATTTCAGAGGGCATTATCATCATGGCAGGGGCATGGCACACATGGTGCTGGAGCAGTAGCTGAGAACTACATCCTGATTCAAAGACAACAGGCGGAGAAACTGGGCCTAACATGGACTTTTGAATCATCAGAGCCTACCCCAGTGACACACGCTCTCCAACAAGGCCATACCTCCTAGCCTTCTCCTTTTCAAATAGTGCATCCCCAGTGACTAAACATTTAAATATATGAGCCCATGGGAGGCATTCTTTGATGTTTGTTCATTTTTGCCCAGACAGGATTTCTCTGTGTAGCCTTGACTGTCCTGGAACTCTCTCTGAAGACCAGGCTGCCTTGGAACTCACAGAGATTTGCCTGCCTCTGCCTTCTAAGTGCTGGGATTAAAGGTGTGTGCCACTACTGCCATCAAAGAATCCCATAATCTGGAATATAAGGCTTGCCCCACCATCACCACCTAGACTTTAGGGGGTCATTCGGGTTCAAACCACAATACTGTCTTAATGACTTAATGGTGTTCTTCCTAGCAGGTGTTTTCTTCTCACCTCCAGCCAACCTCAGACTGAACTGGTTTTAGTTGTCCTGTGTTTAGACTCCTTTAATATGTAGTAGTTCCTCAGCTCTTGTGTTTCATGATGTATATCTTTTTGAAAAACACAACTTCCCCGTTCTAAAAGTAGAACATTCCTGTTTGCTACCTGCCTTGAACATTTGCCTGCTGTTTTCTCTTTTGTTAGTCTGTACATTCCTAGGTCAGAACCTTGTGAGATGACTTGTCACATCTGCAGGTGTGGGATGTTTATCTGTTCCTTATTGGTGATGTGTTGTGCAAGTCTCTGTAGTTACGATTTATTTCCCTTTGCTGTGGGTAAGCTACTGTGAAGAGATAGGTAAACACCATACCACTGCTCTCTTATTCCGACTCCTCATATTTTCTTCATATATATACACATAGATATGTATGTCTGGTGCTGGGGATTCTTCCTCAATTTAGCTTCTGTTATGATTCTTTTGAGACTGTAGCTCAGGCTGACCTTGAATTCACCCTGTAGCTGAGGAAGACCTTGAACTCCTGATCCTCCTGCCTCCACCTCCCAGAGCTAGGAATAGGGGCATATGTTACTATCCCTGGTTTATGCAGTGCTAGGGATTGAACCTAGGACCTCTGCTAACTACTCCTATCAACTGAGCCCTATTCCCTACTGCTACGTTCTTGATTCCTGCACACTGGTTCTTACTGTGAAAATGATAAAACAATTCTTTTCTAGCTTGTCTAGAAAAAATTCTTCTATTTTTATTTTTATTTTGTTGATCTTTTGCTTATATGTATTTCTGTATCAGGGTACTGGATCCTGGAGTTACTTACAGTTTTGAGCTGCTGTGTGGGTGCTGGGAATTGAACCTGGGTCCCCTGGAAGAGCAAACAGTGTTCTTAACCACTGATCCATCTCCAGTCCCAACTTGTCTGTATTCTATACTCTGGTCTTGATATATATATATCTGTTTGCCTAACACACTGACTATTCCTGCTTCTGTGCTTTGATATAATTCATCTGTTTTTTTTTTTTTTAATATGTGTGCATATCCTTGTGGTCATGTGTTTGTGCATATGGAGGTTAGAGGTCGCTATCAAATGTCTTCCTCAGTCATTTCTCCATTTTTCTTTTTGAGATAAGGTCTTTCACTGAGGCTTACTGATTTTCCTAGTCTAGCTGGATAGAAGGCACCAGTGATACTCTAGTCTCTGGCCCCTTAACTCTGGGATTACAGGCATGGATCACTGTGCCTGGCTTTTGCCAACTTAATCATCTCCCTAGTGTGTGCCCTCTCCCCATATTTTTTTTTTTCAGAAACAGAGAAGTTAATATTTAAGTAATGGGAAGGGAAGGTTTATTTAGAACTAGATTGGATTGTTCTGGCAGGTTCTTTGGGAGCAGTCCTCTATGAAGAGGGAGGAAAGGACCCTGAAACAAATGGATACCAGGTTCTTTTCAGCTCGTTCTTGTAGCCTTGGGTGCGGCACTACCCGGGGCCCCTAAAGGCTTACGTGCAGTGGCACATCTATGATTTAGTTGGAATGACCAGGGTCATTTGTAGTCTTCTTGCCTGGCTCAACTTTCAATGTGTTTTTATGTTTGTATAAAATTAATTAAGTGGATGCCTTCACTCAAGAGCAGTTGCCTTTCTGTCACTGCGATAAACACCATGACCAAAAGTAACTTAGGAAAGAAAGGGCTTGTTTCTTCTTATAACTCTTCTGTTACAATCCATTACTGAGGGACGTCATGGCTTTAATTTTTCAGAGAAAGAAGTTAAGACTGGAAGTAATGATCTAGGCAGAAACAGTAGTAGGGTGAGTGGGGTGAGATTTGTAGCGAGTGTAGGCAGGCCAGCAAGGTCAGCATTACACTGAGCTGTAGATGGAGAAACAGTGACTGTGAAGTATGTGAACAACCGTAAGACCATGTTAAAACCAACCAACAAAACAAACCAGGGAAACTTGAGAAAGGCTCATTGCTAGGAGGAAGGAGAATTGTGGAGTTTGTATGGAGTGGCAGACTTCACACGGTAAGTCAGTGGATTAGTACATGTGTCTGTGGGCATGTCTGATGCTGGCTGTGCTTTAAACATGCAGGTACAAATGAGAGTGATTGTAGGGCCCATTTTTATGAATTTTAAGGATGGTTCAGGTTGTGGATGGTGAGTAGACGTCTTTGGTGTGGGCAGGATTGAGTGAGGGATGTGGAGGACTCTGGGCTGGGGAGTGCTCCGCAGCTTGACCTGGCTTCCAGTTTCAGGAGCACATGTACACGTCTCATCTGTGCTTCAGATGCCTGCACTCTACCTAACATAAGCCACAGAGCCACTGGGGTTCACAAGGAGCCACTGGACAAGGTTCAGTGTACGAGTTTGTATCTAATAAGACAAGGACTTAAAAGTCACATGGTCTTTTCTGATGAGAAGAGCTTGTCCTCCAGAGTGCTGATATATTCCTGGTAAGAACTACATTGAATTGTTGGAATATCTTCCTTTATTTAGGCAAGAAATACAGCCTACGAATGGATTAGAACATCTCTGGCTAAACCAGCAGCAGAGAAAGAAGGAGGAGAAAAACAGTTGGAGACAGAAAATGTTGAAGAAGCCAAAAAGAATTCAATAGAGGTAACCAAAGCAACTAAGCTCTTAAAAAAAAAAAAAGATAAAATTGAAGGGGTGCAGATGGCTTAGTGGTAAAGTGCTTGCTGCCCATGCATTAGGACCTAAACTTGGGTTCCCAGCATCCACATAAAAGGCTGGGTGTAGTATTACACAGTTGTAACCCCAGCATGGGAGGGTGTGGGAGTGTGAAGGCAAAAGGATTCTCCCAGGTCTCACTGGCCAGCCAGTCCATCTCTATCCATAAACTCCAAGTACAGTGAGAGACCCTATCACAAAAAATAAAGTGAAGCCAGGTGATGTTCTACAGAGCTAGTTCCAGGGCAGCTAGGGCTGTTACATAGAGAAGCCCTGTCTCGAAAAAAAAAAACAAAAAACAAAAAAACAAAAGTGGATAGTGATATAGGAAAGCATTGGACATGGGCCTCTGGGTTCCACGTGCACACACACAAGTGAATACCCCCCCGCCCCACCTCCCACTAAAATAGAGATTGCAGTTGAGATGAGGGTCCTTTTATTTTGTTAGGCTTGTATTAGTAATTTCAATGTTATGATTCAGGGTGGCATCATAAAATAGTTTCAGACTGTAGGCGAGGAAAGAAGAAAAATAGTGAAGGGTGGAAGGAAGGAGGGAAGTTGGATGTTACCTCAGAGTAAGCTGTGAGACACTTGCCTCAGTCCTTTGGCCAGAGTTAGTTCCACGGTCACAGCCAGTCTTCTGTAGTTGTAAGCCGCACTGTGGAAGAAGAGCGGGTCTAGTAAACAGTGGCCTTCATCTTTCCTGCATGGGGGCACTGCATTCTTCAGTGTGGGAAGAAGGGACCGTCAGTTCCACTTGCAGCAATAAACACCAACAATAATATTCTGTTTCTTTGTTTGCTTTGATTTTTAGGATATCCATGCATTTGCAATCCGGAGCTTAGCAGAATTGACTGCCTGCTCAATTGAACTGTTCCACAAAACAGCAGCATTGGTCCTGCATGGCCAGAAGCAGGAAGTGACAGCCTTAGAGAGGAGCCAGACACTTTCTCAGTAAGTATGATGCAGCCTGCATCTCTCAAAGGGAAACTGCTGAGAGGGTTTTCTTGCTCCTTCCAGGTTTGTTTGTTTGCTTATTTATTTGTGTTTTTTTTTTTGAGACAGGGTTTCTCTTAGCTTTGGAGCCTGTCCTGGAACTACTGTGTAGACCAGGCTGGCCTTGAACTCACAGAGATCCGCCCACCTCTGCCTCCTGAGTGCTGGGATTAAAGGCCTGCGCTACCACTGCCCGATTCCTTCCAGGTTTTAGAAAGTTGCTTTTTAACAAGGTTCTGTTCCCATTGCACATGGATATGTGTTTAGGGTATTGTTAGTGAGCAGGAAGAAAATCTACAAATAAACCTGCCCATTTCATTAAAGGATTTGTTCTCTGAAAACTATTTCTTTGCAGATTGTTAGTCTCAGTAGGAGGTGAACTTGGAACAAGTAACTACAGAAAGTAGTCCTAAATACTTCAGCTCTTAATTACAGTTATTAGTTACCACTGTTCGCTGTATGCCAGGCACCATGCTAAGGGATGAATGTGTATTAGTTCTGACTTTTACAGCAGCACAAAAGGTGACTGATTAGCACAGCTTTACAAACGGAGGAGCTACGGACCCCAGGCAGTTAAGAGAGGCTGCCCAAGCCCAGCATAAATTTTCTTTTTTAAAATTTTTTTGCTGATTTTGAACAAACATTTCAAAGTAGTAAAATGTGAATAATTCAGTAGGAAGGGTAAACCTAAGCCTACTAGTTCTAAATTGAAATAGACAGTTTTGTGTATGTGTGCATACGTGTGTGTGTGTGTGTGTGTGTGTGTGTAATCTTGCCCTTGATTGGCCAGTAGGTTAAAGCCTGTGAGAGCTAGAGCTCTGCTCACTGTTGCCGCCCACAAATGCTTTTCCACAGGTATTTTTTGAGTGAGTGCATGCTGAACTATATTTCTTTTCTTCTGGTGGGAATTAGGTTGGTGTTTGATGCTAAGCTTAGCGGTACTGCTGCCGTTCTCCTAGGTTCCTCATGGGGAAGTGAGCAGGCTTCTTAGGGAAAGCTCTCCTAGTCAGTATGGCCTTCTTTAGGAAGAAATGATTGTATTTACTTACTGAAACATGCCTTTGGGAGTCAAAAAGGGGCACTCATGAATGGTCAGTTAGGATAAAACTGATAGACAACCAAAAATGCGAGGGTTCTAAGCAGACTAGGATGTCTTCTAACTAACTAATCTTTTGACTTAGTTATTAGCTGAGTGACAGTAGTCAGGTTGTTTAACTTCCTTTAGTTTCATTGTTTTCCCAGCATTTTGGGGGCAGAGGCAAATGGTTCTCTGAGTTTGAGATCAGCCTGGTCTCCATAGTTCCTGGACATCCAGAGTTACATAGAGAGACCCTTTCTTCAAAACAGAACAAAACAAAAAACAAAAAACCCAGCCAATAATATCAGTGCCTGTCTAGCTCATAATAGTGTTGAGAGAGTAAAGGAGTCAACACTTGATACGGAGAGTATGCCAGTGTTTGAGCCTTGGGAATTTATCACGAGGTACAGAAGAGCTGAGAAAACAATTGCAGGTTAGAGATGAGCAAGGGCAGGGAGCGTTTTCACTCAGCGTGTTCAGGCTGGAGAGACTTGGGCAAGAAGGAAGGGCGCTAGGAAATGGAGGGACTGCCCTTCAGGGACTGGAGCCTGGGAGAGGATGATTGGTTTACAAGTCATGATGAGGAAGAACAGCATGATGTCCAGTGCAGAGTCAGAGAGCTCATCCACCCAAGAAGCATCCCTTGTAGGAAAAGGCAGCAGGTAAGGGTCTGTCTGTAGCAGGAAGAAATGGGCACTTTTCAGCACTTACCCCTCCCAAGTACTGATGGTGTCCCCTGGAACCCAAGATGGAGTACAGAACAAGTGGCAGGGTCACTCTGTCTCTTAAGTGTGTCTTAGAATGTGTATTCGATACTGAAACACTAGGAGAGAAAGGTGTGTCTGCACCTTTAAAGGCTTCTTTCTCTACTGTTATTAGGAGTGGCCTGTTTAGGTTATTAAAGGAGTAGAAAGAGAAAAAAGGACTCCTCTGACGTGTTCTTCTCTGCAGGGTGACAGTCGTGCTGTGTAAAGATCTGGGCTCCCTGTCTAAAGAGTTTACCACCTGCCTCACCACTGCTGGGGTAAGAGTTCCTGCCTTGTGGGGCTAATGGCTGAATACTTGATACAATTTACACACCGTAAAATTCACATGTTTCAGGGTACAAGTTGATGGTTGTTAGCGCGTCTATTTACAGAGATGTACAGTTGTTACTAGAATTGGATTTTAGGATATTTCATCACTGCCCCCTAAGTTTTCCACACTGTAGCGATTCCCTATTCCTTCTCCATATTCCCCTAATCCTAGGCAATGATGGTGCATTTCCTGTCTCCACAAAGCTTTCCTATTCTAAATTTTATTTCAGTGGGATCACAGGTGTATGTTTTGTTAGACTAGAATGGTAGTTTTGAACTTAGTCCTGTTTTAGCATGTGCTGGTACTTCCTATTTTTTATCAACACTTTATTTTATGGCTGAGTATACCATGTTTTATCTTTTTCAGTTGATAGACCTTTGGACTGTTCCTGTTTATGATTGTTGTGAATGGTGCTGTCACGAGCTTGGTGTGAGCTGTTGTGTTCATGGTTTCACTTCTCTCGGGTAGAGTATGAGATGCAGACTTGCTGGGCTTTCTAGGTGAGATGGTAAATGTCAGATTACTTCCAAAATGGCTGCATAGTTTTGCGCTCTTATTAGCGGTGCATGAAATGCCGGTTTCCCTGCATCTTCACCAGTGTTAGCGGTGGTTCCTTTGTGGTTTTCGATGTGTTGGTGAGTGTGAAGTGGTGCCTCTCTGCTGACTAGATTCGCGTTCCTCTAGTGTCTAATGATTCTGAGTGCCTTTCCATACACTTCATGCCCACTTGTCTGATGCAGTGCCTTTAATTGGGTTGTTTGTTTTTCATTACTGGATTTTAGGACATTTAGGAGCTTCTTGTGTCTTATGGGATCAGCTTCTTGTCAGGTATGTGCTAGGCACAGACTCTCCCTCTGTACATGGGTTGTTTATATTTTTTACTTGTCTGCTTTTGCAGTGCTGGCAATCAAATCCAGGGACTTATATGTGCACAGCAAATACTCCACTGAGTTGTAGGTCCATCTTTTGGGTTTTTGAGACAGGGTTTGTGTAGTCCAGGCTGGCCTTGAACTTGCTGTCCTCCTGCCTTTGCTTCCTAACTGTTGGAATTACAGATGTACGCCACCATATCGGTGTTCCTGTTTTATTTTCTTGATGGTATCCTATGCACAGTTTAAAAATTTCATCAAAATTCTACTCTCAGTAGTTTTCATCATCACAAACAATTTTGGTGTTTTACCTGAGAAGTTGTCAGCTAGCCCAGATCAACTTTGAGTTTTCTTTTCTTTCTTTCTTTCTTTTTTTTTTTTTAAAGATTTATTTACTTGTTTTATGTATACGAGTGCTCTATCCTCATGCACCTGCACACCAGAAGAGGGTATCTGATCTCACTACAGATGGTTGGGAGCCACCATGTGGTCGCTGGGAGTTGAACTCAGGACCTCTGGAAGAACTGCCAGTGCCCTTAACCTCTGAGCTATCTCTCCAGCCCAACTTTGAGTTTTCTTTGATGACTGTTGAGCTCTTACGTCTGTGATGAATATTGAGTTAATTTGTGTGTTGGTGGGAGGGGCAGGGTACAGCTTCATGGGTTTGCATTCTTCGGTCTCATGCACCACTGTAGAGGTCACCCCTTCCCCACTGAAGTCTCTGCCCCTTGCCAGAGGTCATGACACCCTAGACACACGCTTTATTTCTTATGTCTTTATTTGAGTACCATGTATTATACCATGGTGGTTTACATGAGGAATGACTGCCATAGATTCAGGTGTTTGACTGTTTGGTCCCTGGTGCTGTTTGGGAAGGTCATGGAATTTATAGGATGTTGAGCCTTGTTGGAGAACTATGTCCACTGGAAGTGGGCTTTAAGAGTTTGTAGCCTTGCTGTTCACATTCTGTTTCCTTGTTTGGCTGAAAGTGTTTTCAGCCAGTTTCCTGCTCTGGCTGTCTGCTGTTCTGCCTGTTCCATTGTTACAGTCTATAGTTACTGAAGGTCGGTGAGTGATGTGGAAGGTGACCAGGAAACCAATGATCACGGTGAGATAAACCAAGGGCACGGAGCAGAAAACGACTTCACAGTGTGCACATCAGTGTTGTGGAAGAGTTGCTGTGGGGCCCTAAATATAGCAAAACCGTGGCCTGATGAAATTCTAGAGCTGGAGTTTGGACTTTCTCTTTGGAGTAATCCTAGGCCGCAGCTTCTCTTCCCTCCTAGTAATTTCTTTAAACAAGCTCCTGGATTTCCTGAATGGAGCCATTTTGTGGGTTTTAAGATGGCTAGTCAACTACAGAGTGCTGATGTGTTCAGTTGAAATTCATGCCGTGTTTGCATAAAAGGAGACTTGCAAGTGCCTCTCTTCACAACAGTTGAGGTGTCCTGAAGTCAGATTTCCAACTGCCCTTCTAAAATGAAGATTACTTTTCTCCTTATGGTTTATCTGCATGTGTATTTCATTGTTTTAATTTCTTTGCGTGTACTGTCTTGTTTTCTTTTCCTGCTGCTATGATAGAACATTGTGACCAATGCATTCTAAGGGGGAAAGTTTCAGGATGAAGTCCACCATGGTGGGGAAGTCAGGCAGCAGGAGCTTGAGGCAGCTGGTCACATCATCTGCAATCAGGAGAAGAGAGCAGCGGATGCATGTGTGCTGGTGTTCACTCCTTAAGCAGCGCAGGAGCCCCTGCTTAGGGGGTGGTCCTACCAGCAGGCACTTAACCCAGTCAAGATAACCCCTTAGATGTGTGCTCAGAGGCCTGTCTCCCAGCTGATTCTGGGGTCTGTCAAGTTGACAACACTAGCCATCATGTGTACATATTCACCCCCATTTTTCTCTCTTGTCCCTCCTAGTGCTGTCTCTTGAATAGTCCTGCGTATACTGCCGTACCTCCCATCCTGTTCTCCACACGCCCAGAGATATGTCACTCTAGATTCCATCTCTTCTACCCCATATGAGGGTGGTACGGAGACTATCATCTCTCCTGCTAGTGGCATTCCTTCATTTCTCTTTTTGCCTGAACAGAACTCCATTTTGTGTCTATACCATACAGAATGAGGATGTTTGAAACGTTGGTAAATGACTACAGGGGTGGTGAGATGACTCGGGTAAAGACACTGCTGAGCAAACCTGATGACCCGAGTTCAGTGTCCCGAAGCCATGGCGGAAGGAGGGAACTGACTTCTCAACTGTTGTTCTCTGCCCTCCACACTCACGTGTACTTGAGAAATGCACACAGGTGCACGCGCACACACACACACCAAGAAACATTAGCATCAGCACCCTCCCCCAAACTACAAAGCAGTGCATTCTCAGTTTGGTAGCAAAGAAAGACACAAAAAGGAAGTTTACAGCACTTAAACAGTTTCCTTCCAGAAATGACTCTTTGCCCTTCCTTGGTTGAGATGTTTTGTGCCTTTGTTTACCTATGTATGTTTCAAGGTGGGAATCTGTTCTGCCTGTTGTTTTCTTAAGGTGCACTGTGACGAAACTCTCTCCTTTGTTCCAGGTCAGAGAAAAGGCGGATGTTCTGAATCCAGTAATCACTGCAGTGTTTCTAGAGGTTAGTAGTAATGTTTTATGCATCTCTAAGGCATTATGCATTAATTTATTACATCCTTAGTTTCTGCTTTTTAAAAACCAGATTGCATTTTAGCCCTGCTGATACAAATATGACTATTGCTGTTTATTTGATGTTCATTATATTCATTCCCTACTCAGTATTTATAAGGTGTAACAAAGCTGCAGGGTAAACTTGGATGGAAGAAGCCACCAGCTGTCATTCCCCAGTCCCTGCCCCTTGACAGCTGAAGGCGCAATTCTCAGTAAAGAAACACCTCCTAGAGACCAGCTGCTAAACACGAAGGGCTGACCCTCCCCAGACAAGCTCTTTCTGAAGGGCTGGGTCTTGTGCACAGGTGTTAGAAAACAAGGCATGTGACCATTTCCAAGGAAAAAGTCCTCTGTTTGACAGAGTAGCAATGAGCTTACATATCCTTGTCAGTCCATGAGCATTAGGACCATAGGGTTTCAGTCTCCAGAAGGGGGGGCTGGAGAGATGGCTCAGTGGTTACTTGGGGCCCTGGGGTTGAATTCCCGGCACCTACTTGGCAGCTCACAGCTGTCTGTAACTCCAGGTTCATGGATATGACGCCTTCTCACATCCATCCATGCAAGTAATATACCAATGCACATAACAAAAATGTCTCCAGAGGAAGTGTGAGAGCATGCCATAGTTGATCATTTGCCACCAGGGTGGGGTGGTTTCTGGAGTCCATGCTTTCAGACTCTACAACCGAGACTGTGATGGCCTGTCTAGAACACACAAAAAGCTCGTGAGAGGAATGTGTTGATAATTGGCTAGTGTTTAAGTATCAATTGAGGGTCAGTGAGATGGCTCAGTCGGTCTGGGTGCTTGTTACCGAGCTGGACGACATTAGTGAGCTCCAGGATCTCCGTGGTGGAAGGAGAGAGTGGACTCATGAAAGTTGTTCTCTGACCACCACATGTGTAGCACACACACGCCCACCTGTGCACTAAGAACCAGCCAGACTGTCTAGTTTAAAATTATTTTAAGTTACTGTTAAGGAAATGCACTTAACTCTCCAGCTACACAGCTCTGAGTAGCTCAGAACTCTTGTGGTCAGTTATTTTAAAAGTGAGTCTGTAGTTCATTAGTTGGCAGAGCTGGAAGCACTTAGCAGCAAGGGGCCTCCCTGGACTTCCCTCAAGTGCTCTGTAGCCTTGTGTTGGAATCTTGTTTTCAGTGCAAGGAGCTGTAACTAGATGATTTCTGAGGTCTCTTTTGGCTGGAAGCTGTGTTATCAAGTGTCCCACGGAAGTTCTGATAGGGGTGCCAGCCATTGATAAGTGCACAAAAGGTAGGCTGTCTTGGTGTGCACTCCCTGTTGCCAGTTTGAACGGGATATTTGTACATACAAATTTGAAGTGCTCTTGTCCTTGAAAATGTACATTTTTAAAAAAAGATTTATTTATTTTTATTTTATTGGTGTTTTGCCTGTGTGTAAGACTGTGTGAGGGTATTGAATCCCTTGGAACTGGAGTTGCAGACAGTTGTGAGCTGCCATGTGCTGGGAATTGCACCTAGGTCCTATGGAAGAGCAGCCAGTGCTTTTAACCACTGAGCCATCTCTCCAGCGAAAATGTACGTTTTTGCTTTAGTGTGATGAACTGTTGTTATTCTGGAAGGGGAGACCTTGTCAGATACACATCAGATCTGCTCACTTGGGCCTGACTTCTCTAAGGCTTCTCGTCTCATGTCCACTGACCAGGCAGACCTGTCTGTGACTGTTCTTTGTGTGGTGCTTTGTCATGGCACCGAATCCATGGGAGGAGCAGTGATGGTTCAGAGCCTCCTGAGAGCATGTCAGTATTTGACTCCAGTGCCGGAACAGAAACCCATTCAGTCCTGGGCTAGACAATCCTCGAATGTCAAGTGTGAGCAGCCATCTAGTGGGCCATGTCTACTGGGCAAGTTGGGGTGCTGGCACTCTTTTTGGTGCTGCTGTATTATCTCCCAGGTCTGTCTTGTCCTGTATCAAACTTGAGTGCAGTAGTCAAGCCGGTCCTTTCTTTACTTCACAAGCTGTGGCTTCTGCTGGACTGCAGACACAGGTCTGTCCTTTTGTTGTCTTTCAGTGCTTTCTCTTTCAGGTGTTGTAACCTTTTCTTGTTGATGACTTTTCAATCCTCCAGGCCTCAAACAGTGCCTCCTACATTCAAGATGCCTTCCAGCTTCTCCTGCCTGTGCTGCAGATCTCGCTCATCGAGAGCAAGACAGAGTCACCCAGGGGTGAGCCGCCAGCCCAGAGCCCCCTGACAGAGCACTGAAGGACAGAGAGGAGTCTACCTGAGATCATGAAGGCCGAGAAACCCGACTTTCTTCAGGGAAGCCTTGCAGTCAGAACAAGACATCACCAAGTGTGTGAAACCCAGGCAGGAGCACAGTTCACAGGACTGTAGGCTCACAGGGTGAAGGCTCACAGGACTGTAGGCTCACAGGGCTGCAGGCTCACAGGGGTGCTTGCTTCTCTCCATGGCCAAGGCACCCAGATCGGCATACTGCTCTTCCCAGTTTTAGAAGTAATACAGTATTTGAAAAGACATATTTCAGGAAAGTCACTGGGACATTCTGTCAAAAATGCTGGACTTTCTTGGAAATATCAGAAAACACTAACAAGTTTGACATGGATGTAATTTGTTGCCAGTGGGTTGTTATACAAAAAAGAAGAAAACTTCAATTTAGTATCCTGGGTTTAAGACATTCTTTTCACCATGGGCTTTCTCTTTACTGGAATAAAGTCTGTGACTTTTGCAGAACTGAGACTACATAAGCCCCAAGTGAGATGGTCTGACAGGTCCTCTACCCTCTCACCTTGGTAGATGTTTGGCATCGAGGAGAAACTTGTAGCTGTATATATGAACTGCAGCAAAGTGCCCTTTGGCTTCAAATGATTCCTTTCCCAGCGAGACCCCTGCTCAACTTGATTCAAGACCATGCTATTGCATGTCTGCAGATGCTCTGAGACTCTTCAGACTGTATTGTGCACACCCTGCCTGAGGCTGCATTCATGCAGGGTGCATTCTTCAGCTGCCTACTCCAGAGGGGGAGGAGGCTCTTTTGGTGATAGGGTTTTTGTTGGTCTTGTGAATGCTTGCTTATAACAGGATTTAGTCTCAGACATAACACATCTCTCCCTCATTGTTCCTTTGTCTTAATGCATTTGTTAGTGCACTCTGAAAACAGTTCAAAGGCCATCCTATACTTTTCAGCCTTCATTGCAGTTTTCAACAATTAAGAGCTATTTTGGTATCCAGCTATTTTTAAAAATGTTTGTTACCTTAGTGGTTTTTAGTGGCTCTGGTAACTTGAGAGCCCTGGCCTTCATCTTTGAACAACTTTACAATAAAATATGATTATGCCTACTTATAGATGTGATATTTAAAAAAACATAAAGAATTAAAATATTTTACTTTAATGTTGTCTATTTTCATAAAAGGCTTAAAAATGAAGCATCTGAGAAACAAGGATATTCTGAGAAAGACAAGCCTCTTAGGTAACATGTCGTTAAGGGCCCTGTTGAATCTATGAGGGGAACTTTGGAAATCCACACACTGGTGTGGCTCCAGCTGCTGTCTGCTTCTCGGACACCAGTCTGCTCATTTCTCAGCAGAACCCTTGCTGGTTATCGTATTGTCTGGAGAAAACCCGTGTCCCTACGTGTTTGTGTCAGTCACTGTCCCAGAGTTAAAGGGACGTCCAGCTGCTCTCTCGGCACTTGTTAGCAGACAGACAGCTCGTTTCTGAGTGACCTCACCTTGTGTGAAGACCTGAACAGAGGGCCCCACACTGTGTTTTCTGTACACATTGCCGCTGCTGTGTGTGCCCGCTGGTTCTAAGGTGGAGGTCAAGTGACTCTGCATGCATTGGTGTTCTTAAAGTAGTTTTGTGTCAGTTTCATTCGTGTGGATAACACGTTTGGATTCTCTAGACCGCCAGCCCCATTTCCAAACCTCCTAGATCACCACCACAACATCCTCTCACAACTTCATGTCCTTTAAAAAGACTTTTTTAATAACCCAGAGTCCCATTAATGCTGCTCACATGTGCATTTGTGTGGGGCCATCCACTGAAGAGTGAGCAACCTACTAGGGGCCTCACCCCGAAGAAAATGAATTCGTCCCTTCCACGGCAGCCGTTGTGAACCCCTCCCATCCATGTCAGATCTTTTATCTTGTGCGCAGGCATCTGGAGCTGCTGTAAGCTCATGAGTGTCGTGTCCCTGCCATGTCTGGGACACCCTTTCTCAGCAGTCCACCACAAACTCCACTCTCACAGTCTGTGCTCCTGCATGCTGTTTGTCCTCCCAGCCGTGTGGGGACGGGGTGCCACGCAGTTGTCACATCTGTCTGAACGGTCCACTGTCACCTATTTTCTGCACGTTGACTTAGATATGCTTAATTGTTTTTCTTTTTTGAGACAGAGTCTCCCTCTCTATCTCTGGCTAGTCTAGAGTTTGCTATGTAGACCAGGCTGGCCTTGAACTCACAGAGATCCGCCTGCTTCTGCCTCCCAACTGATGGGATTAAAGATGTGCCAAGTTTGCATTACTTTGAAGGCACATTTATGAGCTGGAATGGGCAGTCTTAGCTGAGTAACTCAGAGTGAGTGGGAATCTCAATTGCAGCTTTAAACCCTAAGGGCTTACGTTTTTCTTGCAGCTGAAACCTCTTTCCTCTCCTGTGGCACGGAATAGTGCAGGCCGCACAGCTCAGCTGCGTGGTACAGGAGGCGTTTCAGAAATTGAACATTACGAGTATGTTGTCTTCAGTAAATCAGGAGGTGCTTCTGTAGCTGCCCAACTGTATTAGTAAGGCTTCCAGAACTTACTAAGAGTATTAGAGCTTATAGAATAAATCTCTCTATATAGAAAGGGGCTTTATTAGGATGACATACAGGCTGTGGTCCAGCTGATCCAACAGTGGCTGGCTAGGAATTCAGTAGATGCTATGTCTGTGAGGCTGGATGTCTCAGCTAGTCTTCAGTGTACGCTGAAATACCAGAGAAGTAGACCCTAAAGCCAATGAAGAAATGACCTTGGCCGGTGGTGGTGGTGCACGCCTTTAAGCCTTTAATCCCAGCACTCGGGAGGCAGAGGCAGGCGGATCTCTGAGTTCTAGACCAGCCTGGTCTACAGAGCTAGTTCCAGGACAGGCTCCAAAGCCACAGAGAAACCCTGTCTCGGAAAAAAAAAAAAAGAAAAAAAAAGAAAAAAAAAAAAGAAATGACCTTGTTCAAAGCGCCCTTCTTTCCTGTGTGCTGAGGGTGGGCCCGGACACGTTCCAGAGAGGAGGGAAAGAGTAGGCGAGGAAAGGAGCAAGCCAGGCCATGGTGGCGAGAATCTTGCAGCCTAACTGACTAGCAGTTGTTGTTTTTGTTTTTAATGTATACAGGATTCAGTAAGCAGGGATAGATTAATGTTGCAAAATGCAGATCATACCATTTTTGTTTCTGGACATGTGTTTAACTTTTTCTCTTGCACATCTGGGGTCATAGTTTAGTCATCACTGATGAACCGTGACAGAAAAGTCATCTTTTACAATCATTGCTTTCTTATTTGGTCATTGATAAACAGTTACCTTTTGTAATAATTTTTACCCATCAACCTCATATAAGAATCTAGAGACATATGATAGCCTTTTCTCAGGCTGGTAGCTTTTGTGGTATGCTAGACAGAAAGAAAATCTCCAAGCCAGTCCCAGCAGATAGCCATGTCCCCAGCAGTTATTAACTCTTTTTTTTTTTAATTTATCCCTATCCCATTCGAGTGGCACCCTTAGGTTTTTTTTTTTTAATTTTATTTACTTTTTTTAAAAACAATCTTTTCTCCAACCTTCCTTAAGATCTCATAATACTACTTTTGGGTATATATCCAAAAAATGCTCAATGGTGCCACAAGGACATGTGCTCAATTATGTTCATAGCAGCTTTGTTTGTCATAGCCAGAACCTGGAAACAACCTAAATGCCCCTCGACCAAAGAATGGATAAGGAAAATGTGGTACATGTACACAATGGAGTACTAACAGCAGAAAGAAAAAAAATCGACATCTTGAATTTTGCAGGAAAATGGATGGAGCTAGAAAACATCATTTTGAGTGAAGTAACCCAGACCCAGAAAGACGGTTAATCACATGTACTCACTCATAGGTGGTTTTTAAACATAAAGCAAAGAAAACCAGTCCACATAGCTACTTGGGGGGCAGGGTAATGGCACCCCCAGTTTGGGGACTGCAAAACTCATGTAGACAGACTCATAAGTGAACCTCTGCACCCTCATTTTCCAGCTTTGTGACAATGACTGACTCTTCACTCCTATCTGTAAAACCAGTCACAATGACACTGAGCATCAGTCATCAGTAGATGACTGTGTAAAGCATCTACAGAGGGCCTGCCATGTGACAGTGCCCCAGACACTGTCCCGAATATGTATCGTGTGCTGCTCACACCATTTAATCCTCACCACCACCCTGCTATTGACATGCCCATTTATAGATGAAGAAACTGAGGCATGGGAGAGGTCAGTCATTTATCTGAGGTCACCAATGTGTCAGTGATGGGGCTCAAACCCAGACACCAGCGTGCCCATTTGCCATGCCATGACACTGTCACTGTGAGCCATCATGGTTATGATGATGACCATGGGGCAGACTAAGAGGATTGGCTGGCTTTTAGATGTCACAGCTCCAAGCACGGCACCTCTGCAGCAAGTCTGTTGTGTGGTTTTAACCTCAGGATTATTCTATTGTTTCCTGAAGGGAACTGCACGGAGATGCCTATCTTAGGAGAAAACCTATTTGGAAGCATCTGGTCAGGGCTTTCCAGAGCCACTAGGACTTGGCATAGAAAGGAGGTTGTGGTTACAGAACATGTTTGCCATAGCGGGAACAAAGACCTCAGTGAGGTAGGGGCATCTGTATTAATTAGTGGTCAGAAAGAGGAACGCAGTATGTCTAGCAACTACACTGGCAACACCCCCCAAACTGGAAAGTCCCAGGCTCTGCTACAGCCGTGCTACGTGGATTGCTCAGCAATGAAAGAAATGAACCCATAATAGATCTTTGCAAGAGCTTGGGTCAATCCCAGAGGAATTAATTATGTGGCTTGGAAAAAAAAACCTTAAAGGCTTTATGCTGCGTAATTCTATTTATGTAGCATTAAAACGACAGACAATTCAGTCATAGGACCTGACTTGTCTCATTTCTGTATATATTCCATAACCAGCTGAGTCTAAAGATAGGCCAGTCTCCAGTACTGTGGGGGCTCTAGAGACTGGGGTGCCTGTGCCATCTCGGCCCTGACTGGGGGGGCAGAGTAGCAGTAAAAAGCCCTGACTGGGGAGGTCTGGGGGGGCATAGTAACAGTAGCGTCTGTGGCATGCTGGCAAGAGGCCTCAGCTGTGGATCACCACCCGGAAGGCACTCAGGCATACTGAGTCTTGGCCAAGGTCACGTGGAGTCAGAGTTGGTTTGGCCACATTGCATGGGACCTCTAGTTGGCTAAGGAGTGCCCTGTGCCGCAGGCTCAGACTTGAACCGGATTTGCGGACTCCATAGTGCTTGTCCTAGTAGCCCAGAATCACCCGAGAAAAAGTCTCAATTGAGTAATTGTCTTTATTAGGGTGGTCTGTGGGGGAGTGTCTTGATTGTTATTTGACACAGGAGGGCCTCCTAGTCCTTTGTGGGTGGCGCCATCCTCTGGTCAAGTGGTTATGGGCTATATAAGAAGGCCAGGTAAGCATAGCCTGTGAAGAGCAAGTAAGCATCCTCCTCCATGGTTCCTGATTGAGTTCCTGGTCTGACTTCCCTCTGTGCTGGACTGTGTCCGTCCTGGAAGTATAAGTTGAAATAAACCATTTCTTTCCCTCAGTTGCCTTTGGTCAAGGATATTTTTCACAGCAGTAGATATCAAACTAGAACAGTGTCCCTTCCACTGTCCCAAACAGTGTGGGTCCTTACCTTGAGACAAGATGCTCTGCTTCCAGAAGATTTCGCCAGAGAAACACATGTTCCTGGACACAGAGGGTCTGGTTGGGGAGGGAGGGATTAGCATGGGCTGCTGGCAGATGGAATCGTTCACAGCCGGCAAGAGACTGGCCCCGGTTTCTGTAGAAGGAGGTCGGAGACACGATACGAGGGGATGGAGCTAGCTCAGGAGTGGACACAGAGTTCTAGAAGGTTAGATTGTGAAGCAGCTGACAGAAGGGAAGGTGTGGGATTCCCATCACCTCTGTGCTTTCTCGAGCCCTGGCCAACCAGCCTCTGCCATGTCCCTCTGCCTCATCATCTGGTAGTATCTGATTGCTTATCACACAGAATCAGGAAGTGCTGCCCAAGAAACAGAAAAAAATTGTGCCAGGCCTCAGG